AAAAAAAAAGCAGAGAGGAGAATCTGACACATATCTTGCCAAAAGAAATAATAATAATAACCAATAGTTAAAATTGCGAACTATAATCATTACGAAAAGACGAATGTATAGATTAGAATAAAAAAACAAAATACGAAAAAAGAAAAAAAGTACATGCCTCATATTTTAACATTCTTAAACGAAAAAACAAGTTAATCTCATCTACATTATGCATACCGTATATCAAAAATAGAAGAATAATTTGTAAAATAAAATCTACAAAAATTAAATATTACAATAGAAATAAACATAAAATAATACCTAATCGATATAGAATGATTTTAATGACAACATTTTGTTCTGTTTGTCTATTTCTTTATAACTCATACATAGTCTGCAAATATTTGCGTGATTCATCATTGACCAACCATGTGATTCATTCATTTTTTTTACTCATTTTTTCATTCGCTTACTTCTCTCAAATGAACGTGTTTTAAAATACCTTTATAGGGGAATTGGCATAGAAAAGTAACCTAATATGGTAGTTTTCAAAAATACCTGTATTTATTACGAATACGTCTAGGAATTATTTTCTAAATGTTAGTACCAGTTTTTTCATTACAATTAAATAATAAAGTATTTCCACGTACTGTTGCTGTCGGTAAATTTAATGGAAAAAGATCGTGTCTTGTTGGTGCTACTGCTGGAAATAAAGTATATATATATAGGATAATCTTTTCTTTTGATTTTGAATAAAATTTTGATAGGTATTTATTCATTCACCACAAGATAATAATCCTCAAGCCCAACAATTAGAAGGAAATGTTTCACTTCTTAATGTTAATCAAGTTGTAACAAGTTTAGCATGTGGTCAACTTGATGAACAATTAAAAAAAGATTTACTTGTTGTTGGAACAAATACAAATATAACTGCTTATGATATTGATAGAAATGTTGATTTATTTTTTAAAGAAGTTAGTTATCTAAATATTTTCTTTTATATATAATTAATCTATTTTCCTTTTGTAAGACTCCAGATGGTGCACATGCTATTACTATAGGTAAATGGGGTGAATTACCCGAACAATTAGCTATTGTTGGTGGTAATTGTTCTATACATGGTTTTAATAAAAAAAGTGAAGATGTTTTATGGACAGTAACAGGTGATCATGTATCATCACTTGCTCTACTTGATTTTAATGGCGATGGTTATAATGAAGTAAATTTACTATTTTGTTTTTTATCACTTCAAATCAAATGAGTCTATATTGTTTTCTAGCTTGTTGTCGGTTCACAAGATTATGATATACGAGTATTTCGTGAAGATCAATTAATATCTGAAATGCAAGAAACCGAAACAATTGTTTCATTATGTCCATTAATTGGTGCAAGATTTGGATATGCATTAGCTAATGGTACAGTTGGAATATATGAACGATCAAATCGAAATTGGCGTATTAAATCAAGAAGTATTGCAATTGTTTTACAAGCTTATGATGTTGATGGTGATGGTGTAGATGAATTAGTTACTGGTTGGAGTAATGGCAAAGTAACTATGATTATTATTCATAGAAGAAATAAATTCCCTTTTTTTTTTATTCAATAGGTTGATATTCGAAGTGATCGAAATGGTGAAGTTATATTTAAAGATAGTCTTAATTCATCTGTTGCTGGAATTGTTAAAGTAAGAATTAAATCGAATAGATTATTTATAAACTAAAAATTTTCCATTTAGGCGGATTATCGAGTACCTGGTGAAAATTTACTAATTTGTTGTTCGAATGAAGGTGAAGTTCGTGGATTTAAATTTTCTGAACAAGGTGTCAATGCAGCAGCTGCTAATTTATATAAAGATCAACAAGAAGCAATTCGAGATTTAGCTCAAAAAAAACAAGTAAGAGATTTTTTTATTTATTAATTCAATGAATTTATAAAATTTCATTAATAAAATAGGCTCTTTTACTTGAGCATCAAAATATCCAAGATGCCATAGAAAAAATAAAAAAACCAGGCAATGAACAGAATAAACAAATTGCATTAGATCCCGCTGCAGAAATTCCAGTAAGTAGATTTATTCGATGACAGGAAAAAACAAAATTCTATATGTGTTAATAGGCAAATACTGAAATTCAAACAATATTAACTGTTGAACAAAATCGAAATGATTCTCCGGTATATAAATTTTATTTGTATCATTAATAAATATTTTCTTTTAGGCACATATTGCAATTAGAATGAAAACATCAAATCGTAAGAATATATTTTTTGTCATTCATATTAATATCTTTATTATATAGATACAATCATACGAGTTGTAACACTCTTTGCAGAAGGTTTATTTAAAGGCGAATGTCTTGTCGTGTAAATATTATTGAAATTATACGATAAAAAAGACTATCTTTTTTTGAAATTTAGTCATCCAGCTACTAATCAAGTTCGAGAAAATATTGTTGTACCTATTATTCCACCGAGAGATGCACCTGTTGATTTACATCTTCAAATATTTGTTGGTCTTAAATCAAGGTACAATATAAATTTCAATAAAAATAATGATTTAAATTTTTTTTATAGTACATTGTATCATGTTTTTGAATTAGCACGACCATTACCTATGTTTTCAATGTATTTATTAACTGAAAATTCACCCGAAGGAGAACCAAAAGGGTTTATTTCATTTACAATTAATGAACGTATTCCACGAGTAAATTGTTTGCATAATTTTTCTCTATTATTATTATTTTTCTTTTAAAAACAGGTTCTTGTTTGGATAAATCATCATTTTCTTCTTGCTCAAGAATATGCACCAAATACACCATCTTTATTTGTCACTTTTCTAGCAGTACGAAATAATGAGAAACTTATTATAAAAATGCAAAATACCGGACAAGTTTGTTGAATTTAATCTTTTTCTTATAAATTTTATCCTTGTAAATACATTAAAGATAACAATTCGAACGGATGATATGGAATTAGCTGGAAATATTGTTCAATCATTGGGTAAATTTTTAAATATTGAAGTTTTACAAACAGCCGGGGATTTTCCACAAGAACTTGAAACACTTCAAAAAGTGTTTTCACATGTAAAATAAGAACTATTATCATTATTAAAAATCGAATAATATTGTTGTTATTTAGATTGAAGAATATCAAACAGTTCGTCAACGGATATCATCAGATATGGCTGAACATGCAAATATTATTCGAAGTTTTTTAATACGTGCAGAAGATTCTCGTTTAATTGGCGATATGTAAGTTGATTAATAATTACAAGACACAAATTTAATTGAAATAAATTTAGATCTGCTATGAAACGACATTATCTTGATTTATTAAATTTAAATCGTGATTTAATTAATGGTTATAAAATTCGTTGTACAAATCATGAAGAATTAATGAAAAATTTACGATATCTCAATCAAATGGTACAAAAAGCAGGCAATTTAAGAAGTAAGTAAATTTTATTTAAGAAATACAAATCAAAATCGTTCTTTTGAATTTTAGTTGGAAAATTTAAAACAATTACAATTAATCAATGTCGTTCAGCAATCAAAACAAATAATGCACAATTATTGATTAAATCGATTAAAACTGGCAATGTTTAATGCACTAATTATTTATAAATCTCTTTTAATATATTTTAAAATATGATGTAATATTTCTGAGTGTATGTTTTTTGTTGTTATATTCAATTAAAATATTAGATGTGAAAGGAAAGATCTTATAAAAAAAAACTATAAATGATAGAAAATCTTCCATATGAACATATATAAAAACAAAGAGTCATCTAAATGATTATCACTATTAATATAGAATACTCTCTTCTAATAAATGCTGTCAAATGTAGAGTTGGAATTTTAATGGGAGAATCCAAAACATTCAAATAACTCATTGATCATCTACTGATGACAGTGTTTTATCCAGGTTTCCTTTTTAGGGTGTGCGAATCGAAATGTCAGATGGGCACCGCCCACCCACTAGCTAAAGCACTGGCTTAGAGTTGGAACCGGTCCGGCAATCTAACTTCGATCTGGCCGGATCGGACAGAATGGAAAAAATCCATCCGGTTTCAACTCTGCCTTAACCAGCATACTATAGTATAAATTTATAGTCTTGCCCGATTTTTGCAAGTTTGACGTCAAAAGTAGTCCGGTCGGACCGGACCGTATGGAAAAAATCGTTCCGGTTCCAACTCTGCACTGACTGATGATATAATACTCATGAAATGTACAGAAAATGTTTTTAATCTTGGAACAGTATACATATTAGCTGACTGTATTTTTTCAAAATCAATAATCTTATTATATTGCAGCAAAAATGAATTCATTAAACAAAATATGTCTTTCGGGAATATGAGTTGTCAGATTTTAATTAGATTCAATAACATCTTGTATAAATTATTGTTGATTTTATTCGAATCGATGGATGCCAAGGAGACAATCTATTTCGATCATGTAAAGTCTTATTAATACATGAATATTGATTATATATAGAGGTCACTATTTGTTTATAGTTGATTGTGTAACATAGGTCGCTAGGTGAACGGTGATAGAGGAAATGTCATAACTAAAACGTTAACTATGTCTACTCTGTCATTTCTTTAAAATAAAAAAAAACATTTTGAAGAATTGTCAATATGGCAACGTCTGTCTCTATTATACATCCTTCGCACCCAATGCATCATTCTAAATCCTTTGATGATCAAGATCAATATTATGATACAACTAATGATGATGCGATTTGTATGGGATATTTAAATGGATTACCCCCTACGCATAAATCACATTCCAAGTAATTATCATTGTATTTTAATATAAAATTCTAATGGATTTTATTTTTTAGAGATGGAATGTATCGGCCACAAATTGATCATCAAATGGCACCAGCACGTACTTCATCAGCTACAACAAAACCAACTATGTCGCCTTATCTTCAAAAATTACCTCATTCAAACTTTATTCAAACAATACTTCCTCCATCAGCATCATCAACAACGCAACAACAACGACGACAACGTCGTCGTCGATCGACTTCCATCGCTCGAACACGAGGAGAATTACTTGACACTGCTTATCAACCATCAAATATTGATCATCTAGATTTAAGTTCATTTTTGGGGAATAATAATCGCTCTGCTAATCGTCCAACAAGTGCTCCGACACGAACGTATGCTGTTATTTAGATTCATTTAGTCATTCATATATCTTTTTTTCTAGTATGATCGCATCGACACATAAAAAACGTACACGAATATCACATCATAAATCAAGTTCAAAAAGTCAAACCTTTATTATTAAAATATATCGTAATGGAGATCATGAGATAAATTGTTTATGTAAAGCAACTGCTTTGAATGCGGTAAGTTTATTACAAAAAACAATAATCTATCTATAAGAAATATCTATATTAAATAGATTTTACAATATGCAACTGAAAAACTTCATATGTCATCAGCTGCACGTCGTTTATTCGATATCAATGGGCAGGAAATTTATCGTGAAGAAGATATACAGTCTAATCAAGAATATTTCGCCTCTAGCGGAGAAAATTTTAAAAATCCTTATAAATCAATTAAAAGTAAGAATTAAATTTACAAATATTTCATATACAATATTTTATTTTTAGTGCAAACGGAATATGGTCTTAACTCAACATGGACGATGAATGGTTTACAAACCGATACAACAAAGCCAAAATCATTCACAACAACTGTTACTATCTCAGAACGTTTACAGTATGTTTTATCTCATATTGCATATATGTCGATAAAATTCTGTATTATTTTAGAAGTCAAATTAAAACAAGTATAAATTTAACAATATTTGAAAATGGTTTTGGTCATGATACTGTTGGATATCATTTATTAATTGATGCAGCTTTAAAAGATAATCTTGAAAAGGTCTACTATCTAATCTAATAATCAATTTTAATTTAATTATTTATTTAGTTTCTTGATTATTGTACACAAAGAATACAATTAACAGGACATGCAAAGAGAGCATTTACTTTTCGTGGTGATCCAATAAGATCATTGAAACTTTGTAAATATTCTTCTTTTTCTCTATGATTTATATACTATTCAATAAATTTTAGTTTTGGAATCGGATGATTGTAAAATGCAAACTGCAAATGGCGAAATTATCTATGGGCCAGTTTGGCTTAGTAAAGGTGAAAAATATCGTCCAACAGGTGCTTATATATTTCTTGAAACACGTTATAAAGAATGTCAAACTCAGTTAAAAATATTACAAAAAGAATATAATGAAGTTATGATTGTTATTAAAAAACGTAAACGACGAACAATGATTGATAATGAAACAGATGATGATGCACATGTATCGACAAATGAAGGTACAGATAAAGAAGATGATAAAGTCATCGATGTATCAACAATACAAAATAAAGGTCTTTTATCAATGAAAAAGAAAGAATTAAAAGAAGCAAGAAAAGTATGAAGAATAAAATATAATAAAGTTTTCAATAAAATTTTGATTCTTATTAGACATTAGAAATTAAAATACAAGAACTAAAGGATTTAATGGCATTATATCGATCAAAAATGGATGAAATTGAAGATGCTATGAAAGATGAAGATGTAATTTATTTAAGTTTGATTTACTAATAAATATTTTTGTTTTTGTTCTAGTCTTCAATAGCTCAACATATTAAAAAAATTGATTTTGACGATAGAATTGTTGGAAGACATCCACTTTGTTTAATAGTAATTGATTGTTATATATTATTTAAATATTGATTATTCTTTTAATAGATTCATGAAAATGGGTCGTATCATAGTACAGATCCAGAAATTTATTTAAATCTTCGTAGTTTACCATCGAAAAAAGTACCACAAACATCCATTGAATATCTTCTTGATTATTTACAAACATCGCTTGAAAAATATGCTCGACAACGTCCTAAACGTGTATTTGATATAAATGGAATTGAAATAAAACTTCTCGGACAAATTCGATCGAAACAACATTTATTTATTTCATATGGAGAAGATTATCGTCCAGCATTTGGTAGAATTTTTTATTTTATTTTATAGACTAAAGTACTTATTTATATATGTTTTTCATTTTAGAACCATGTTTAGCGATTGAATTACATGGTGCAGAGGTTTATGAAAAGGATGATGGGTTATCAGTAATAAAAGCACCTCGAACAGAAGATCAGCTTTTGACTGAAAATGAGAAAAAATCAATTAGGTAAGAAATCAATTCCTACGGATAATTGTAGTTTATAACATTAGTATTTCAATAAAGATACTAGAGTCCATTTCGTCCAACAATAATTAGAAATGTACGATTTCACTAAGCCGTAAATATTTCAATAGAATCGCCAAAGCAATACTGCAGTAGATTTACAGATAGTAAAACTGTTTTCAGATCTGTCAAGGAATTTCTCATTTGACTACTATACGTCCTACACAAACGATATTGTTAAGTTTTAGAATAGCTAAAATGAAAAAATAAGTCATCACTTTCTTTCAACCATTGACAATAGATTTATTTGTAGTAATATAAATTGTCAAACTAATACCTTTTAATTTCTTTCCAATTTTAATCCACTCAATAGCAGTGTATTTATTAATAAGAAGAAAAAAAAGAAAACTAACTAAAGCGCTATGCTTGTTAATTAGAATAGCTTATAATACATGTAGAGAGTATAAATAATAGTACACGTTGCTAATATCATGTTCCGAATGTATTCTACTCTGATTCAAGATTAACCATACTTCATTAGTTTCAAAATTTTAGTAAACTATTCCTATTTTTTGAATAAAACGTTCTTTTTATCGTATTTTTTGCGATGAAAGTTATTCTCTATTCACTGTGTTTAAATATCATAGAAAACTGCGATAAAAATAATTTTTCCCTAAAAAAATATTCATAACAATAATTAATTGAATTCTATCTTTCATTTTATAGACAAGTAGCTGCTAGTTGGAAGGTGGCCGAGAAAATTCCAGACGATGTTCATAAAATAAAGTATGCCGATCTATCGGATGAACAAGTAAAACAAGCAGTGGATCTAAAAATAATAAATGATCGTATTTATGAGAATGTTACATTTATAACCAAAAATCATAGATTAATCTATCCTGAATTACGAATCAGTCAAAGAATAATATCAGATACGAATTCAAAACCAGCACATCATAAAGCACCACCAAAAAAAATTTTTTCTGATCTCGATTTACAAACATGGTGTTACACTAAAGTAAATTCATCTTTTATTTTTATTTTCTCGAATTATACTAAATTTATTCTTAGGATGGTTATATATATAATAAACAATTAAGCTCTCTAGTATTAACTGTTATACCTGAACAAGATATTCAAATAACATGGAAACCTAGTAAATTATCAAAACAACGTAATGAACAAAATCTTAATGGTTATGGAGTTCAATTACGAGATAAAGCAACTGAACCATCTCATAATCAAATATGGATATTTACTACTGATGGTTATATTATTTCGAAAGCTTATCCAGATTTTGCATTGACAAGTGCAGCAAATATAATACCAGGAGAAGATGAAAATTTTATTGCAAATGGAATACCAATGAAAGATAATCCATTTATATCATTTGTAGCTCTTTGTCCGAAATGTCCAGCAAATTCACCATTTATTCATCGACAACGGTAAAAATATTTTTATACTAAATGAAATAAAAATTTTTGATCTTTTTTTGTTGAATAGTTGGGGTATTCGTCAAATATCAGGTTTTACAATTGGTGATTGGAAATATTCAAAAGTTGAAAATCCTGTATGGCATAAAATGGCTTTAACATGGCCAGTTGATTCAAGAGGTGCAATGATACCTGTATGTTAACACTGAAATAATAAATTTGAATTTATTGAAAAACTTTTGTTTTACTAGGATTTACAATGGCCTATCGAAGGTTGTTTTATTCCAGGTGTACCACCTATTAAATCACTTAAATCATCTCAAGCACCAGACGGCTGTATGTTTAAATTAAATTTGATAAAAACTATTGTTCATTGATTTTGTTTTCTTTCTTATTAGTTGTTCCCATTCGATTACAAGTATTGAGAAATGGAGAACGTGATATGAGTAAAGCTGTATTCGTTGTTGGTCCTGATATTTCAAATGTAATTATTATATATATTCTCTTTCTCGTAGAGAAGAGTCCAGTAAACATAAACTGTTTGGTTGCTTGATTGTATGTCCGCAGGGTCAAAAAAACATCGAAAATCAATTTTTCCAAAAAGACATTTCTAGAGATTTTTCGATGCGAGGAGTTCGAATCTGAGGTCTGTTGGATGACCATGGTAGGGAGTGGCTGAGGAGGGGCAAGAGGTCAAAAAAACATCGAAAATCGATTTTTCACGGTTTTACCAGTAAATGCAAAGAAAATGGATTTCTACGAGAAAGAGCTAAGCGAGTCCTCGGACGAGCGTTACTTGTATACATATAATACAATTATTTATTTTTTTTATAGTTCATACTTGAAACAAAAGGTTCGGCTAGTATATTTCGACGTTTACGTCTTCCTGAACCTGAAAAAGATCAACGTGTTAATCGACAATTAAAACGTATGGCTGATGCTCGACAACGTGAAATAAAAATCGTATGTTTTATAGTTTCTTTTAAATCTATTATAATATGTTGTTTTTTTTTTCTTTTCAAAATAGTTTTTAGAAAATTGTACAAATCTTTGTAATCTTCCATTTGCTGGTCGTCGTTTATTTGATGAACATGGAACAGAATTATTTGATTTATCATTAATTGAACGTGATTCAATTGTTTATGTTACATGTGGTGAATCATGGATTGATCCTGAATTAACAAAAGCGGAACAACAACGACGATTATTATTAGCTTATTTAAATAATGATGTTCGAATGATTTATTTCTACTGTGCTTTAAGAAATCCAATTGGTAAGAAAAATTAAATTTTTTCTTATTGTGTGATAGAATCGAGATTAAAAATACGTCCTCATAGTGGTTTGAGTGAAAGGGAATGACTATTAGACTGAAGGGGGTAATAGCTGGCACCCAGCACTCAGTATCTTAGCACCTGCTCAGCACCTGTTCGGTGTTTTTCAGTGCTCGTTGCGAGCTCTTGCTTCCTTGGCTGAGATGCTGAGTGCTGGGTACCAGCTATTACCCCCTTGATTAGACCTTTTTTTGCATCAATCGAGTTGAATGTTTTATAGATCTTCGGATACATTTGCTCTAGGAACAGAATATGTGGTTTTCATATATAGAATTATGCTGAGACATTTTGTTGCTATTGTAAATTTATTTTATAGAATATGCTGTATCGACTGAAAATGGTCTCAGTGAAAATTCTCAATTAATTCTAAGTCGATGCGCTTTAAATGCTAAACAACGTGCTCGTGTTAAACAAGGTGAATCAATTGCACATGTTATTGAAAATGAAGGACCAATTGAAGAAACACCAACTGACATAGAACCAAGGTAAGAATAAAAATCTTCACCTTCTCTCTTGATTTATAAAATACTTCTTAATTTATCTTGCATGTTTTACTTATCTCTCTTTTATTCCATTCCTTTTTTTAGCGATGAGTATGTATTTATTCGTTATATGTTTTGTATAAATAATCGTGCGTGTGTGTATGTGTGTATTGCAAAAAAAAACAGAATTATAACACGATTTGAATGTTTTGGCAAAAACAGAGATTAGTTTTAATAAAATATTTTATTTTTATAGAACCGCACATGAACGAGCACATAAAAATATGGATAGAAAATCCAAAGAGGAATTTCATTATCCATGGGAAAAATCAGGAAATTCTGATAAAAAATCCAAGGACGCATTTCCTTGGCCGTGGGAAAAGATTGCTAATAAGAGCTTAAATTTGGATACAGATGATGATGATGTTATTATGCCAAGTATAAATGTACCACCACCAGATAATTCAATGACACGATCAACAGAAACGTAAGTTTATTATTTCTTTTTCTGATTTTTAAATGAATGTTTACAATTAGATTAAATTTATCAAAACAACCTCGAAAATTACCAAGATCAGTTGCAATATCAATGCAAAAATTTCGTTGGGAACCAACAGGTGGTTATATATCATGTATGGATGATTCAAATTTAGTTTTTGGTGTTAAAGAAATTGAAAGTAAAGTTGTCGATGTTATATTAAAACGTCGAAATGCAGATGATATATTTCAACGATGGGTTTTTATTTCATTGAATGATGAAGATCAAAATGAAATTGATGTAGATTTTACAAAACCATTGTAAATCAATAATTGTTCATTATTTCGAAATCTTTCTCATCTTTTTTGTTTTTTAGTTTAATTGTTTCCAAAGCTCGACCAACAATGGCTTTAACAGTATTACTTCCATCATGTACAGGAAATGAATCAAGTGATGTTAATATTTCTTGTATTGGTTGTCCGATAACATTACAACCAAGACGATACGAAGAAAATGGTTGTGCTAATCAAAAATGGGCATATGATGAAACACTTGGATTTCTTCTTCCATTCAATGCAACATTAACGGATAAAGGTATAATTCTTTATTTTTGAATCGTATGATAACAAGAAAAATATTCTTTTTAGAAATTACAGCAGCTAATCGAGCAAATATTTGTTCGTATACAGTTAATTATGAAGCACTATCACAACCAGTAAGTAGAATGAATTTTGAAAAAAAATATATCTCTTTTTTTTTTACTCAAAAGGGATTTATTGTATCAATTTTAAATAATAATGATCAATCAGAAGATGTACCTGTTTGTCTTGCTTGTGCACAAGCAATGCGTGGAAAATATCGTTTAGTTAAAATCGAACCCGATAAGAAATTTACTTGTGTTATTGGAAAAAGTAAACATCTTTAATATACAGAAATATTAGAATTATTTTCTTGTTAAGGACTTGATCTGAAATTTCATGGTCCATTTCATTGTCTTAATCATAAAGTTGATTTAACACGAGATGAAGCTGAAAATACACTTTTTCAACGACAAGAACAACTTGAACAGTAAATTTTTATCTTTAAAAATTTCTCGCTAATATTGATATTTAAAGATTACGACAAGAAGCAAGTGTTCGAAATATTGCTAAAGAATTAGCTGCAGCAAAACCAATACAAATCGTTCATTTACTTGCTTATCGTAATGGTGAAGGTCATACAAGACAAGGTAAACTTTTAATTGGTTCAAGTATTATTGGTGTAAGTATTAATAATTAGTAAATGAATAATATACATTGTACAATAATCTCTAGTTACTTGATCAAGCTACTCATCGATTGGATTTAACAAATGCTGCTCGACGATTTTATGTTATCGATGGTAATGTCATGTTAAGTATTGAAGATCTTATTCAATGGGCAACAGAATATTATAAAAAACGTTTTAATCAAATATCAAAACCAACACGTAAGTTGTTTTTTTTCATTTGTTCAAATATACAAAAATACTAATAATTATTTTCAGAAACACAACTTCTTGATAGAGTTGACTTAGACACACCTGTACCACCAAAAAGTAAATTAAAAGAACTGGCACCTATACCTCCCCCTCCGCACGTTTTCTTTCCTTTTGCTTATTTTTTTATCGAGACTAATGTGCGGACTCAAGAGGACATGATCATTTGTAGATAACTAAAATCTCAAAATACGACGCGTTTTCTATGGAAATAGGCTTTTCCTTAGAATATTCATTTTTTCGCTAGTCCACGAAATGATTATATATTCTCACATTAGTCTCAATAAAAAAATAATTGAAAGAAACGAAATCGTGCTAAGGATATAGCCTATGAAAAAAGTCCCACTTCCTTTATAATTTCTATTTTTTAAAATTTAATATAAATTTTTCAATAGTTCCTGATTCACAACGACGATCAAGTCTTGATAATCAATCAGAAAAAACAACATTGTCAAGTAAATTACGTGATCTAAGTCCAACAAAACAACATTTTCAAGGTTTACCAAAAGCATCAGATTTAAAACGAGCAATAAAACAAAATTCTGTTACACGAGCTATCGATGTTGATATGAGTTATTTATTAAAATTTCCTATTGAAGTATGGGTTTCATCTGGTGAAGCATTCGTCCGACCTTCTGGTTTGTTAGAAAAAACTATTTTTATTTCAGAAAAAATATTTTATTATTATAGATGCAGATCAAAAACAAAATCAACGTTTTATGCAACGCGAAGAACGAACACCTGTTGTACATGAATTAGAACGAGAAAAACATGCTTTACGTCTTTTGAAAGGTTTTTATTTATTTTCTAATGTATATATGCTTCTAAAAATCTTATTTAGGACGACGTATATCAGGTCAATCAACAGGTGAGCTTGTTCCTCAACAAAATCCAGATGTACCTGTTATTAAACAAGGACATTGGACACAAAAATCAGATGTTGAACTTGATAAACAAGATGATGTAGAATTATTAAGAGTAAATATTTATTTTATTAATCAGATATTCTTTTAATTAATTTTTGTACAGAATTCATTAGGTGAAATTCTGGTTTCACAACAACCTGAAATAACACGACCGATTTCATCAGCTGCAACTGATCGTTTAGCACAACATTCAAAAATTGTATTTTGTTTTTTTTTGTCTAACAAGAGAATTGATTTTGATATTTTTCTTTTTAGAAACGTACTTTAATTTATTTGAATGGTGAACCAAAAGAAACAGCTGTTCAATGTTTTGGTAGTAATTTAAATGAATTAATGGAAGCTGCTAAAATGAAATTGAATTTAATGCAACCAATTCAAGCATTATTTGATGAAAATGGACATATTGTAAGAATTATTTTTGAGAAAAAAAAATCATATTTTATGTGTACGTATATATAGATTGAACGATTTGATCAATTAAACCGTGATCAATTAGTATGTGTATCAACAACAAAAACATTTATTTCATTCTCTGAAAAACAACGTGAAGTTGATGTTAAAGCTGATTGGGCACGTACACGTAATAAATATGGCGATCAAGCAACAGATATTCGTGTTAGTTCAAACCTTTCAACATTTCCTCATGCAGCTGATCCATTTGGCCCACCAATATTAACATCAGATGATCAAAATCAAATTCGTCCAACAACAACAATAACAAAACCACCACCAGCACCAGCACCACTTTATCGTAGATTAGCTATTGAACAACAACAACAGCCACCACCAAAATCAGCTACACTTACTGAAATAACACCATCACCAACAGTTATGAAGGATTCATTAATGTTAAGTGATGATGATGATGATGGACCTGATAGTGAAATTGAACGGATTACAAATGTGAACAATGATGAAAATGAAAGTAGTCGAACAACAACAGCAGCATCAAGAAATGGAGCACAAGCTAAAAGTCCTTTTTCTCAATTATTTCCAGCTAATTCACGTTCATTAGCACCAACAAGACCTCCACCATCGACACAGAAGTCAGATAGTGATGACGATGAGTTTATTAAAATGCTCAAAAGAAAATAGAAATGAATTGAAAAGAATTTTACAATGAAAATGTTATTGTACGCGTGCGTGTGTTTGTGTGTGTCTTTGCGCTTGTGTTTGTTGTTTAACAAGAGTTTAATAAAATGCAATTGAAAATGACATAAATAAAGTTCACACCAGATTCTAAGCTTTCTTATCTCGATTTTTGTTGACTTTTTAATCACTAGTTTTACATGCGAAAATGTTCTCTTCAAGTCCTCTTGATGATGAATAAACAGAGAAATATTAATGAACTTGAAGGAAATCACGAAATCAGTCAAAAAAAGGTGAGCTCGAAATTTGGAGTTTACGACTTTATGGTATTTCAACAAATCCCCAACGTTTAACTCCATATTTTTTTTTCTTGAATAACATCGGTCGACTCAAAGTAGCCAAGAGTATTTATATAAGCAATTAGAAACAGACGGTTAAAGTTCTGAGCTGAGATTTTCGTTGAAAAGTAGACATCCGTAAACTCCAAATTTCGAGATCACTTTTTTTGACCCAAGAAATCTATGAAAACTCGTATGAATGGGATGTTGGCGTGCATGAGAGACTGATAAAAAAGAAGTACTTACCCACATCTTTACCTATACCTTATTCATATAAGACTTTGATTTACTTGAGTTGCCAATATTTGAATGGTGAGTACTACTGCATAACTTTTCAATTCTCCATTTTCTCGTTACTTAACTATCTATATGGTATGTTAAGTATTCTGAAATTAAAATATCTAGCACTACACATCGATGGAGTAATCGAAATATATGATAGTACAAAAACTTATTCATATTATATTTCAAACAGCGAAGTCATACAAATGATGCAATTAGTTCTACTCTCTATCTTTAATAGCAATGATATTAATTCAATAGTTTCATATTTCAAATACAAAGTTTCAATTATATTTAAAAGAATGTAGCGTTTCAAGTATTTTCTCATCTATACATACAATAAAATGATAGTTAATCTTTATTTAGATGGAAACATATTTTTTACAGATGTCTCTCTCATCCGGACTAAATCCAACAATCAGATTGGTTACTATTACTATTCACTGAACCTCCTTAAATTTTATTTTTGATCAGCTGTCGATTATATAAATTCCTATCCTTTAAGGTTTTTCTTATCCAAAGAGTCCACATTTAAATTTTACTGATGACCACAATCACTTCTTTATCTCTCAATCATTCACATACTTTACCACATTCAACTGATTCAAATACTCAATTAGTTCTCTGTATTAATTCATTTCGTGAATCTAAACAAGATATTTTATCAACATCACAAAATTCAAATTTATTTGTTAACCATTCACAAGAACTTATTGAACGTCTTTATCATCAACGATCAAAATTAATACAATTATATGATGTAGAAATTGAACGTCAACAATCAACACCACAATTAATTCTATTTCTCAATCAAATTGATCAATTAATTAATGAATATGAAAATTATAAATATAAAAATCAAATTATCGGTAAATAATATTCAATTATAATTACAAAAAATATTAATATGAATTTAATTTTTAGACGATACTACTCATACAGTTAAACATTTAGATGATGAATCATATTCCACATATTTTAATGGTAAGAATAAAAATCTAGAGAACAAATAATTTTATTCATCATTCAGATGGTTCTTCTCTCGATGATTCCAATGATGTCGATGTATGTGAATTACATGAAAAAGAAATATCCGAACAATCTGCAAAGATTTCAAATCATCGAGATAACGATGAAAATCTTCATATAAATCAGTAAGATAAAAAAAAGAAACTTTAAATGATCTTCATTTTTCTTTATAGTGATGATCATTCATATGCAAAAATAGATCAAAATAACAAAGTTTCAACAAAAAAATTAACAGTAAAAAAATCATTTTTCTTTTCTTCGCGCTGAACAATTTTCTCTGTAGATTCTTCAACTGAAACGTTATAAATACGATGGATGTTGTCCATTAACAACACGTACATATGGTCTTGATCCAATAAAACATGGAATTCGTCATTTTCCATGTACACGTGTAACAGCACCTATTAATCTATGTTAGAAAACCTTCTTCTTTTTTCAATCTTCTATATCACACATGTTTTTTTTGTTGATGATTAGATAAACATTTAATACAATATCATCAATTAACACATTCTCCAGCTATGCAAATAGTTCGATTATTTGCTGATCAGAATGAAGAAGGTGATATTGATTTATTTTCATCAAAATCTATCAGTCTTATTGCAACACATCCAACAGTTTATCGTGCACAATGTCCATTAAATCAATATGGAAAATTTGGTATTATAGCTGAACATAAAATTCGTTTATGTACACAACCTAATCAACCTATTGGAGCACCATTAGTTACACCAAAAGATGTGTGTTTATATGATCATTTTGGTTCGTATAAATTAAATTATTATTTAACTTGAGGGTGAGGTTGTAAGGTTCCGAACTCTACTTATCAGTGAAATAACTAGATGTTTATAGAACTGATGATTGAAACTTTTCTTCTCTTTCTCTTTAAGTTGTTTATCATCAAATGAAACGTTCATGTGCTCAACGTTTGGCCGAAGCGATAGTTAAAAATAAAACTGAACAAGTATTTCGTCCTGACGAACAATTATTAAATGATACATTTTACGTTGAATGTCCTTTACGACATCCAAAAGCAATTTGTTGGAAATCTCCAATTTCAACTCGTCATATGGGACAACATTTAACCGGTATACATAAATTAGATCGAATAGCAAGACGTCAAATAATGATGGCATTACGAAAACAACCATCATCTTCATCATCCGTTGAAAGTTCAACTAAATAAACATCATTCTAATATTTTTGTTTTATTTGTATAATCTATTTTATATAAATTGTGAACAGTATATATTAGTTTTTCGTGACAGATATATTATTTTTTTTTGTTTTTAGATATGTCATTAATAAATAAGAATGAATGTGAACGAGATTCATCATCAGCATCAGCATCAGATGATGATGATTATGATGATAATGTTGAAGAAGAGAATGTATTTGGTGAACAAGAAGAAGAAATAAATATACTCGAACAAGTACAAGGTTTATTTTCAACAGATGTATTTTCAAATGTTATTGAAATGTTTCGTACATATCAATCAAAATTTGATCTTATAGAATTTCTTAAAAAACATAATATTCATTCACAATATGATTATATTCGATTAATTAATTATATTCGTCATGAAGTTAGTTTTTGTTTTTCTAGTGAAATATTTTGATTATTATTTTCGTATATAGAAACCTTCCATTGATGATTTAAAACAATTAAAACCATCGAAATCTCCACCATGGTCAGATGATAAATATTTTGAAACAGTTATTGAGAATGATCCAGCATTACAATTTGGTAATTATTAAAAAACAAGAAGGAACAAATAAATTTTTATTTAATTATATTTAATTTAGACATTGAAGAAGATTTAAATCAACTCGGTGATTTAGCAATATCATCAACAGATGATCAAGAAAACAATCAATTGAAAAAAGCAAATGAAAGAATTCGACAATTAGAAGAAATGGTTGATACATTAAAGTAATTCGCACTAGATAAATCTTCATATATTTTTAATCAAAGAAAACTATGTTAACAAAGTAAAATCAGATAAGATGAAACAAATATTTTTTGATGAATTGAGGACTTTCGGATTATTCCTTATTCTTCCATTAGGAAAATAAAACAATAGTTTCTGTAGTATGTGATATCTACTTTCAGACTAGCGTGACAGTGAGACTGTTTCGTTTTAGTGACTCAAGAAGAAAGTGATTGAAGATACTAATATACTGCAACCGAGATTATATACATACATCGTTTAACTATCTCTGTTGAGATTCCACAATTTCGCCAATAAGATTTTCGCCAGTGTCATTACGTGATTGCATATGCATAAAAATAGCTCCTGGTAACTGTATTGAACGGTTTAGACTATAATATGCTTATTCTGATAATACTAGGTTGATTTGTCACAGGCATTTTATACACTGGCGGATCTAGCTATTCGGCGAACCGATGACCGCCACCCCCTCAAAAATAGATACTTTGACAAATACTGAAAACAGTTAGAACACTATAGTTTTCTCTCCTAAAAAATAATAGTACTTTCTACTTTTTTTTTTGTAAACCGCCACCCCCTCATGGAAATCCTGGATCCGCTCCTGATTTTATACTAATCTTCTGTTAATACAGTCCGCGAAAATCCACTGGACTCACGCCAATTGGCGAATGTCCATTATAGTTTCGATTAGTTGGCATTTCTCATAATTACCTATAATCGAAATTTTATTTTCATAGATCAATGACATCTCGATTATTAGATGATCAATCTACCGGTGCAACAACAACAACTTCTAAAGCTCAAACAAAAGATGATATTCAAGATAATGGTTATTTTGCAACATATAATCATTATGATATTCATAAAGATATGCTTCAGGTATGGTAAGTAAAAAGTAGATTTATTTTTATCTGCTGATATTCTTTTCATTTCAGGATACAGTTCGTACTGAAAGTTATTTACAATCAATTAAAGAAAATGTCGATATATTTCGTAATAAAATTGTATTAGATGTTGGATGTGGAACAGGTATACTTTCAATGGCATGTGTTAAATATGGACATGCTAAAATGGTTATTGCTGTTGATATGTCAGATATGATTTATGATGCAATGGCTATTGCAAAGTAAAAATATTATTTAAATAAATAATTTAGAAAATTGTTTTTTTCTATAGAGAAAATAATATTGATGAATCGAAAATTGTTTTTATTCATGGAAGAATTGAAGATGTGACTTTACCTGTTGATAAAGTAAACGATAAATTATAGAGATTGTACATTTATAAAATCTTCTTTTTTTAAGGTTGATATTATTATCTCTGAATGGATGGGTAGGATAATATTGATAAAATAATGTTTATATAAATAATGAGTTTATCTTAGGTTATTTTCTATTATTTGAATGTATGTTGGAATCAATTATTTTTGCTCGTGATAAATATTTAGATAAAGAAAATGGTTTCAGTAAGTAAATATTTACTTTCTAATAAAAAATAGTATCATCATTATTCTACCGGATTTTATAAAAGTTCTTACATAGGACCAAAAACTTTGATTCCATTATGTTCTATTAGTATAAGCTTTTTTTCACTTAACATGTTTGTTTTTAGTATTACCCGATGATTTTTCAATTCATTTATCTGGTTTTCATTCGGAAAAACTTTATCATGAACATGTTGGTTATTGGTCAGATGTTTATGGTTTTGAAATGAATACTATTACAAAAAATATTCTTGCTGATGGTCATGTTATGATTGTACCAGCTGAAGATATCATAACTAGTGATTGTTGTATTAAGGTATATTCGAAAAAATTCTTTTCTTTTTCTTATAAATAAAAATTTTATTTCAGAATTTGGATGTTTATACCTGTTCAAATGAAGATCTTTCTTTTACATATCCATTCACTATTCAAGTACTTAAATCCGGTTCTATATCAGGTTTTATTTGTCATTTTGATGTGAACTTTGCTAAGAATCTTATACAAAAGGTAACTTATTTATTAAAAAAACACACTTCATTAACGAATGTTTATTAAAGGTACATTTTTCTACATCAGCTCGAGCAACTCCTACTCATTGGAAACAAACAGTATTCTATTTACCTCGATTATATAGTGTTCAAGAAGGTAAAAAAAACTAAATATCTTAATTGAATCTATATGATTATTATTTTTCTTAGGTGAAGATATTCATGGAAAAATTTTATGTCAAAGACATCCACATGAAAAACGTGGTCTTATTATTCATTTACACGTATTCGATTCGAAATTTAAATTCTATTTAGAATGATAGATTTTTTCTTGTTGAATTGTTATTGTTAAGTTATTTTTGTCCGTTGTTAAAAAGAAAATAAAAATGAAAGATCGATAAATGAAATAAGAAGAAGAAATAATATAACATATTTCAAAATTGAATTTTTTGTACATTATAAATTAAAGTAATCGAGACGAATTTATTTCTCTATGATAATTAGATGGAAATTTAATATTTTTGGTGATAGGTTTTTTTTAATAAGAGAAAAAAACATTTGGAATGTTGTTTTAAACTTATTTTTCTTGTAAATGAATTGCACTTGCAATAAATTGAAATGTTGAATGAGTAAAAAAGAACGCAATATCTTGTTATTCTTAGTTTTTTCATGCATTAGTCATGTTGTTAATACACACAAGAAAACAAACGACAACCAATGCTAGATGTTTAAATTGTGAAACATATCTAAATATATTGTATGAGTAAGTATTTCTAGAAAAAGAAAATTAAATTGTAACGAAGAAAACATAAATTTATCTTATGTCAATAAGCAAAAAAAGGGGAAAATTTTTGACTTATAAAATACTCATCGTATTTGTTCAATTGCAACCCTATATATACTCGTTTGTATTAATAAACTAAAAAAAAATATAATTCACAATCTCTTTCGTCCTTTTTTTTTCTTGTCATTTTCTTCGATTTTTTTCATTTAAATAAAAAAAGAGAAAAACGAATGTCTCGCTTTCATTTATCGTATCGAAGAAATACATTGATCAATAGTGTTTTTTACTGTTTTTGTTGTTGTCGTCGTCGTCATCATCATCGATTTTTTTTCTTCTTAAGTTAGTTTTACGTGTGAAAAATAGATTAACTTCCAACTACTCATCGTTATTGTAAACGATTCACTAGATTTTTATAATATTAAGGTTTCTTACCTACTCGATTGTATATATATACTTCTTTTAGATTTCTTTTTTTTATTCGAAAATAAATCTATAGGAAATTATGGCTGATAGAGAGCATAATCCAGAAGCATCTCATCCAACAAAATATGGAGCATTAGGTATCTTATCAACACATCCCTTAGCGGCAAATCCAAGTAATAATAAATGTTTTGTTTTTGATAATATAATATTACTTTACTTTTTTTTTCTTCGTAAGATCATTCAGAACAATCAGAATCTGAAGCTAATGACAAAACAAAACATGCTCATAAAGATACTAGTAATGTCGCACACAATAATACTAAGGAGCATGAAGATAGTGATTTTGATGATGAAAAGATTCAACACAAGATGAATGGTCTCATTAATACTATACAATCAGCATCACCTGATCATTCACGTAATACATCAACAAATGATGAATTACAGAGACCAAAATCACCATTTGTTGGTGAACAAGCTGAGCCATCAAAACGTATAACCAGTCCACAATTAACAAAAGAGCATCCAAATGTTTTAGTTGTTGACAAATCACCTTCGCCAACTCATACTCAACAAAAACGAGTATCTCGTAAAAATTCATCAGCAAGTTCCACTAGTAACGATACAATTATTGGTGGAGATCTTAATTCACCAAAACATGAAAAAAATGCAAATAAAAAACAACAAAAACATTCACCTTCACCTAACGAAAAATTAAATTCGTCTTCTACTCATAAAGAAAATCATGCTTCTGAACAACAAGTATCAAATAAAAAATTAAATAGAAGTCATGAAGAACAAAAATCTCCTAATCGATCAGATCATGAACAACGCAAATCTCCTAATCGATCGGATCATGAACAACGCAAGTCACCAAATCGTCACAATCGATCTGACCATGAAGAACAAAAATCTCCTAATCGATCCGGTCATGAAGAGCGAAAATCTCCTAATCGACACAATCGATCTGATCATGAAGAACGAGAATCTTCCAAGTTTAAAAAACTTTTTCTTTTTTTTTCCAATTAAAATTATTTGTTTCTATTTTTAGTAAATCACCTACTCAAAAAACAAATCCAACTAAACAACAAAAACTTGTTAGGTTTGTAGACAACAAAAAACGATATAATCTTCTATGATTTATGTACAGAGTACCTTTGAAAATATTTGTCTAGAACATTATTCGATCGGTTAATTACTACGAGAGAAAAAAAGCCTAAAGATAACAGAAATACTAATGAATATATTCACTGCATATGAAAGTATTCAATAATACATCTAAAAGTTTTATTTTATCTCTTAGTTCTCCTACAAATACTAAAAAACAAAATCAAAAAGATTCTGATAATGAAAGTGATTTCTATGGTTCGCATCCAGCATCATCGAAACATAACAAAGAACGTACATCATCTAATGATAAACGACATTCACCAATACAAAAACGTACTGGACATGAATCTAAACATAATTCTTCGATTGAAAAAGATTCAAAAAAATCTCGACAACATACTGGAAAAGTAGATAAATATTCTTTATGATTATCATTATTATTTTCTTTTTTTTTCAAGCGACTATCAACAACAGATTCTGACAATGACCATAGAAACACTTCAAATCATTCAAAAAATAAACGAGTATCATCATCGAAAAAGAATGAATCAACGAAAAATAATCAAAGATTTCATGGATCATCTGACCATGAAAAATCACGATCAAGATCACCATCACCAAATGTTCGACACATTGGTGTACGTAATAAAACACCCGAAATAACGAAAAAAGAAAATACTAGTAAAATATAATTCTATATATTCTTATAATTCTCTTTTCGATTTAGATAAACAATATAAGAAAGAAGTTGAACGAGCATTACATCGAAGTAGAAGTAATGAATCTATAAATCGTAATACCACGACTGATGATAAATCAAATGATTTAACATCAGATAATAATACTGAAACTGAACAACAGAAACGAAAACCTGTTAAGGGAAAAAATAAAAATGCCGAAACTGAAACAGATCAAAAAAGTTTCTCGCATGATACTTCAACAACTGGTAACTATCAACAACATCAAAGTACGTTTTTGTTTTTGTTCTTTTTTCAATTGAATGAAAAAGAAAGTATAAACATATGATTTAAAATTTAATCAATTCTTTTTATTTCTTATATTGTTTATTATTTAATAGTGAAAGTAAACATTTTATTTTCAAGGATCATTTTTCAATATAAATTTGTAAAATAATTGTTGGTTAAGATGAATCCGCGATACTAAATTGAGTGCTTAAGAATTTTCTGAAAAACTGGTCCTCATGTTGTGATCATTTTAGTGTCTAGACGAAAGAAGCATCACAAATCAACCAGTGGCGGATCTAGGATTTTGGAAGGAAGGGGCGATTTCGGTTAAAAACTATTTTTTGAATTCAATTGAAGTAGTATAAACCTATTTTTGGTGTAAAAAATAGAAAAAAATTCTGAAGGGTGAGGGACGACGGTTCCTTTATCCCCCTTAAATCAATGTATAAACTATTTATTTTATGACATTTTATTTTTTGTCTAGGATCTCCGGCTCAAAAATCATCGAAACCAGCATCGGATCATGTTCAATCTACAACTCATCCTAAACCACAAAAACGACACAGTTCAACCGAACATGATTCTGACGATGATAAAAATCGAAATAATAAAAGTACTCAAAAACATGATAAAGAACAATCAACATATCATGATCGTCACGTCGAATCTGATACAGGAGAAATAAAACATGAAAAACAACCAAAACCTCGTCGACCTAAACGTATTTCACGTACAACACAAACATATGAACATGTTTTTCGACGAATGGAACGTGAACAAAATAATGAATTAATGCCAATAACTGATACCGATAAACATAGTCAAACAAAAGATTCACAATTAAATCCAAGAACAAAATCATCGAAAATACCTTTTGCTATGTATGTATCCAATGATGTTCATTCAAGTTGTTTAATTTTTTGTTTCTTATTCTTTTAGAATTCAAGAAATGCCACCAAAAAATTCTGCACGCGATCAACGAAGTTCATCGAAAGCATCGAATCATGGTCGACCTATGTCACCACAAAGTGGTAGATTGTTAATTCTTCGTCCAACACTTCCTATCCATCATGCAAATGCTTCCAATATACAACGTATAAATCTTCAATATTCTATTGATTTAGTTCATAAAGAAAATAAAAAAGATAAATCAACAACAGATCAACGAAGTAAATCTAATCATGGTAAAAATTCGGAACAAGCGCATAATTTACCTCGAATAAATTCATCATCATCAACAACGGGACATACTCAAAAAAATAAATCCAATAAGAAAGAAAAATCGCCTTATAATAAAACTGACGATCGTAATCATCGACGCAAAACAGATGGTAATGTTTGATAGTATATATATGATATATTCAATGTAATATTTAAACAGAAACTTAGACAAGCGTGTTTATGATTGAATTTATTTACTTTTCTACTTTTTTTTCTTCTAAAATAAACATTTAATACAATAAAAAATAACTCGGTACATGTGACATTTTGATTATATAAAGTCTTTCTTATGAGATTAACTAATATAAAAGAAATTGTTGTAGGAAATAAAATCAAAAAGTTTATTTTAAGGTTGATGTATTCGTTTGTTTAGCATTTTCTATTGTTTTCGACGCAAGAACATTAGGTACATATCACAGAACTAGTTCATCGTTCTCATTTTTTTGTCAACATTTAAGAAGTTCAGTATTTATATGACATAAGTTATTACGTACTGTACTCGCATCAACATTCCTTGGACAAATTTCAGAACATATTGAAATATTTCCACGTAATATTTTATTATTATGAAGCATATTTTGATCTATTATTTCCACATTTGGCATTAGCAGATGTTTGTCTATTATAATTCCCCTTACTCGTTCAGATAAGGTTTTAACAAATGTTGTCAATTGAACACCTAGATCGACTAGTTTAGTGCATTGGTTTTGTTACTATTCATTCGTTATTCATATGTAGTTTTACATAGTGATGCTATAGTATGTCTTACGTACCATCGCAATGATAAAATAATATCAGCACATGACAGAATGCGTATAAGTTATTCTTAGTTTATATTTGATGCTTGTCTAGAACCTCCGGTGCTTTTCTCATCATTTAATCGTCTCGTACGTGCTCAAAAAGTAGTGTAATTTACAGTGGTTTGATATATTCAATTTATAATCTAATCAACTTTGATTATGTCTCTGAGTTTTTATGTAAAATTTACATGAATTTATTAATAAACACAAGATATCAAGACAACTTGAACAATAGGTACATTCAAATAAATTTGTTTTCATTAGTTATATGATAGTAATAACTGTGAATTGAATTGAAGAGTGTGTAAGATGTTTTATAAAAAGAAAATATTAAAAAATAAACTGATACATTGAGTATTAATGGAAGCGTCTTATTCATTGTGAAGTGTTACATCTATTTTATAAAAAAGAAAATATTAATGATATATACTGATGTTTTTATTTTTAGCTATTATTCTTAAAAAGAACATTGGTAGACAGTTTTAAATATTGATTCCATCAGTATCTATAAAGAAAGTGCTAAAAACCATTTAAAAATGGGCTCGCTATTAATATTATCTAAGACGCGCTCAATGCTGAATGATTTATTATTTGATATAAGAATATATCACATAGTAAGTAAATATCTGTTCTATGCAGAAACTTTCTCTATATATTTAACTGCTCGACGTTTTATAGAAGAAAAAAACCTGTTTTATCTAATCGATTTTTCTTCTAATTGAAAACTAATAAGATTTTGTGAAATAGATATATTATTAATAGTAAGTATTATGTTGATCTGTATAAATCTATAAATATGTTTTCTGCTCTGAATATTACATAAAAACACCTTGATCTTATAAAAAAAAGTAATTAAAACCAAAATAGAAAACCTTTTCATAAAAAAAAGTGCCTGATTAAGCCATTTCTCTTTTGTTTTGTTTCTCTTCAGTATGACCTAATCATTCGAGTAAACAAATGAATATACTAATATGTCATGTCATGTCATCATTACTCAAGCCGAAATCCGTTAGACAACAAATAAGCTCAACAAAAAAAAAAAAGAAAATACCCGTAAAACGACTATAATCATCATTATTCGGCTACATTCGTTCATCTCCGTTCAAATAATAATTATTATTTGTATCGTATAAAAAGAGAAAAGAATTTCATCATTTCTCTATTCTAGTTGAACGATTACTCATTCATTTTATAGTAAGTACATGTTGTTATTTGTTAATCATAGTCAACTTCTATATTATTTCTATTCTTTATATTTTAATACGCAATAAATCATACGATTTTCTCAATTAAAATAACGACGTAAAACTTTTATCTTTTTCATAACTATAACATGTGGTTAGAACATCCTTTTCTTTTTATGTGTGTGTGTGTGTGTCGAAATTAGATGAGACATTTTGATGACAAAGAAAATATTTCTATATTAAACAATTAATCTTCAAAGTCGGTTCATTTGCTCTTTTATATTATATACTATTGAAAGAATGTCGATCATGAAATAATGCTGACAGTTAGTTACTAGAAACACGGAAAAAGAGAAAGAAAGAAAGAAAAAAAGAAGGAAAATGTAATAGAGATGATGGCTATCGCATACTGTTAACAGAATATACATGTACGTCCATCCAAGGTTTGACACATTTCCTCCTTTTTTTTTTCTTCTTTCTCGATTTCTCGTCGAACATCTAAGCTGAACATAGTAAGCATTATTTCTTCTATTTGCTTTCGCTCTTTCTCTATCTTAACCCTTCAGAAAAAAACAGACACGCACATACATGTATCACTGATCTAAACATACACACATCGACACTATCTATCTATATATATATATATATAACTGTGTTTAGTAATGATCATATCATCATAATAGGTAATTTAGTTCTTTTTTTGTTTGATTTTCCAAATGGAAATTAGATGGTAAGTATTCTTACTTTTGTCTTTTTCTTTGTCATAATATTTTAATTAAATAAAAATAAACATTCGAGAAAATTAAAAACAAAGAATCATCGATCAAACATAGACTCGAACCCTGGATATTGTAGTAAAAAATCATACATTCTACCGAGTGAACCATCTGGACGTTGACACTGCCAAAAAAACTTCGACAAACGTTCGAAGAATAATATTACTTTTTATACGTTTTGAATCAAATAGAGTAGCTTGCAGGTCATAGAAGACATCTAACTTTTCTTTTGAGAAACCTACGGATATGTCGAGAAGTAAGGTAGTTTATAAAATGTCGAAAAACTGATTAATTTCGAGAAAATAATCTTTTTTTTTTATAAAGTATGAACATACAGATTCTTTGTGACTTTTACACTGTTTGGTTTCTCTTTTTTTTCTTCAACGCAAAAAGATGAAAGAACTGAAGCATGGAGTACAATTCATGACATACAATATAATGTGTTCTTTCTCGTTTTCCTCTCTCCTACACTTAATACAGAAATGTTGTTATCTCATGTTGAGTAAACTTTCTTTGTTCTATGTGTTATAGACACACGTAACAGCTCATAGAGTAAGTGCAAAGTTCTTCTTTTCAAAATATGAACAATTCTTCAACGAAAATAATGACATTAAAATTTCATTATTCAAGGTCTTTTTGTGTATAGAAAGTACTATAAATTAAGTTTACTCCGAAGAATTTATCTACTATTTGTAAGATTGTTAGTTCCGATTAGATTACTCATTCATGTGAATAAAGAAAAAAAAGATATATTTAGTATTTAATAACAAAAAAAAAGACAATGAAATGTCCTTATTATATAGTAGAGCAACGTTCTTTTCATCTCAATAGTTACTCTAATAGGATTAAATTATCTGTCAGATTTTATTATAGTAGTTTTTTTCATTGTAGAACACTTTATGATCCTGGATATATTTCCTCGTTTTTTTCTGTTATTAATAAAAAACAATCTATCTTAGTTTAATTTAAAATAGAACGTTAAGGACATTTGAGTTATTTCTCTAGTAATAAAAACTAATATATATATATATTTTTCTTATTGTGTGTCCTGATGACATATATTATATTATTTTACATATATCTGTAAATATAAACGATTAATTTGCCATAAACAGCACATGTTCCGTTTGTTTAGGTATATATAGATATAGCATCCTTTACAAGTTTGATTTCTTTTCATCTTTATAGACGTTTTAATAATATTAAGTAACGGATGATGATATTTTTCTTCTGTAAATTTGAAAATAAAATCATGAGATTCCAGAACGAATCAGTTAGAGTTAAATAAAACATGACTAGTCATGTTGATAATAAAAGTAAAGAAAAATGATTGCCACACCATGTATATGGGCATGCCAAACGAATGAATAATTGTCGGGGCATATGTTCGTGCATGTGCTGAGAGTGTGATACTATGTGCTTCGAGCAGAACTAGACAAAATTGAAGCCATGACAAAAAAAACGAGGAAAACTACCATCACTTTTTTTTTCTTCTTTTCTTGTTTCTATACTTATCACTTATTCTTAGTCTTCTACACTTGAACATTCTACATTTATATTTTCTTTTCTTCTCTTCATCATCAAGTCGACAGGAAAATGGGTATGTTTCATATATATATAAAGTTCATTTTGATTCAATCATTTTCAATAGAATATTATGCTTAACCTTTGAATATATTGTAGTTCTCATTTAAATTATTGGTAAATAAGTTTCCATAGTATAAACGGAAATACACATGTTTTCCGTCTAAAACTAAATGAGAGTATGAAATAGAGAGACAGACACGGAATGAGTAGGAAAAAAAAGCATTTTTTATATCTGTAATGTTAACTTTGCAAACAAAACATGTCAATATTGAATAACAAAATGGATGTATATGGTAGCAAACATTACTTTTTTTCCATTTATTATTTTTTTTCCCTTCAGGCTATATCTCGTAGATACCTCGAAAATAAATTGTTTATAGTCTTTTTTTGTTCATTACTAGGCACTTTTAATCAAATATAATAATCCGACTACTGTAGACATAAAAAAGATGAGAAAAATCTTCTTTTGTTTCTTTCTATTTCAGCTCGAAATATATAAGGTTAAAAATACTACAGATATAAAAGCATTACTGTCAAATACAACCGGGTACTTAGTGCTCGTAGTTCGATTTTATATTTATAACTTTGCCTGTTTTTTTTCTTCATCGATATATATGTTAAAAGAATGTTTATGTCACATTCATTATTATTTAAAGTATTTTATCGAATTAAGTACAAATCATGTTCTTCTATTTTAGATTAAATTGACATTAGATATAAGTACAAAATAAAACCAAATCTCTACGTACATACATACTTAAAGTAATGGAACCAACTAATGAATTATTACCATTACTAATAGATTCAAATGAACGTTTTCGTACAATACGTGAACTTGGTTCAGGTACATATGGTCGTGTTATGCTTGCATTAGATCGTGATTTACAACAACGATGTGCATTAAAAATTTTACAAAAATCAACAACAAAATATCGTGATTTTCATCGTGAATATAATTATTCATTATTATTATCATCACATCGTTCAATAATTGATACATATGAAGATCGTTGTTTTCAAACAACAGATGCATATGTTATTGTTCAAGAATTTGCACCATTAGGTGATTTATTTGAATCAATTCCACCACAACGTGGTCTACCTGAAAAAGCTGTTAAAACAATTATGAAACAAGTTGCATCAGCATTAGAATTTATGCATGATAAAGGATTGGTAAGTTTTTTTAATATAAAATATTGTACATCAAAATAAAATGTCTCAATAATTGGATTATTTACTTAAGTTAAAAATATTCTACACTCATTCATAAGTCATGTAACGATAAATATTTTTCAGGATTTAAAAATCATTATTTTAATGTAAATATGAACTCTTATTTTATTTTTAGGTTCATCGTGATGTTAAACCAGAAAATGTAATGATTTTCGATGCTGATTTTCATAAAGTTAAATTAATTGATTTTGGTATGACAAGAAAATGTGGTACATATGTACGACGTTTAATTGGTAGTATACCATATTCACCACCTGAAGTATGTGATGCACTTAATAATGATATACTTGTATCAACATCAATGGATGTTTGGGCATTTGGTGTATTACTATTTTGTAGTCTAACAGGTAATGAAAACAAAAAATGAAATTCTAATAATAAATAAAATAATTTTTCTAATATAGGTAATTTTCCTTGGGAACATGCTCAAGAATCAGATATATATTTTAATGAATATAATCAATGGATTCAAAATTATCAAATGGAACGTCGTTATAAATTACCATCACAATGGTATAAATTTAGTAATCGTTTAATGAGATTATTTCGTAAAATGCTTGGTAAATAGATTTATCTTTTGATAACAAACTAATTATTATTTTTATTTAGATCCTGAACCATTAAAACGATGTGAAATAACTGAAATTGATAAATATTATGATGATAAATGGATACATGATCATTTTAATAATCGTCGACGTTCATCAAATGAAGATGAAGGTGTAGAAGAAGATTTTTCTTCATCTGGTAGTGGTATTGAATGTAATACAGTAACATCAAGTACAATAAGTAATAGTGACTTTGAAGAATTAACACAAATGATGAGAAATTCTTTAACTGGTTTTGATAATTTATTAACAAATGAAAATCAACAATCATCAACAAATGTTACTAAAACTTATTGTTAAATTTTTTTTCTTTCTTTGAAAGATTTATTCCGAGTGTAATCATTATTTTATACATACAGTGAATATATAGATAGTCAAACAGTGTATGTATATATATATATAAACAAATGGCTTTTTGTCATATAGAATTCCGTCCGATGTATATTTTGTCATTTGAAAACAAAAAAAATTCTCTTTCTTCTTCTTCTTGCTTGTTTAACTGTTTACATTTATCATTTGTTTAATGAGTTTTTATGGGTATATTTAATAATGAACAAAATAAAACTCAATAATATCGCAAAAATCTACGTTTTCTCTTCTTCTCCTTTTGTATATGAAGGATAAAAGCAAATAATTATGTTTATATTTTAGTCAAGTTTCATAGAAACACGAACGATCATTAGTGCTTTCCGGATACACAGGATGTTCTCAATCAAAAAAATTGAACCTTCGATCATAATTATTTTCATATGTAATACTAGAAGGATCCTTCCGTCGAATGTTTATCGATTAATTTCATATTATTAACAGTTCCATAACTTTAATATTAATATACTATATTTTCTCAGAAGAATATTTACGCATATATTTTTTTTTCAAAAATGACGTAAAAAGAGAATATAAAATTAAAAAAGATTGAGAAATTATTTATTAATGTATTATGAATGTGTTTTAAAAAAAGAAGAAAATAATTCTATTCATTAAAGAATAAATTAATCATAAAAGAATATATTTATAAAAATCAAGCATCCCACGCTTTACACTTAACAATTCGAGAAGATCATTCATTCGTAGATATGAGAGTAATAAGTTTTCAATAACTTTTTATTTTTTATAGAAATGGAATTATACGATACTTAACTACTAATATAATTTACATATTAATTGTTACTATGCTGATCTTCTTCAATAGTAAACTGAGAAGCAATTTTTATCTTGCTGACGTCAATACATAGACACTTCATATAATTAATGGCATCCTTCATGTTTTTTTTCTTATATCGACTCTAAGATGCATTTATATCAAGTACTTGTGAAGTATAAAAACAAGCTAATTTTAATTGAAGTAACTCTGTTTCTTGTTGCTTTAGAAATCCTAAGTGTACTGTAAATAATGAAATAATAAATTTGCACAAGACTTTAATAGAAAATAAAATCGGAATGATAATTTACTGTTAAATTAGAAAAATACACACACACACGCACGCACACGCGCAAATTTAAATAAAATATTCTTTTATATCGAACTTCGTTTTTGAATTTTGTCTAGTTGAAGATAAGATCGATGTAAAGCCATATTTTCATCTATTTCAATTTTTGGTTGTAATGATTCAAGAATTTGTTCTCGAAGTGATCGTATAACAATCATTTGTGGTTTAACTAATGTTGTTTTTTGTTGATGTAACATATTTTGATGTTTACGTTTAAATTTTGTTTTACATGATGTTGGTATACATGATGATTGACCACGACATGAGCAAAGTGATAAATCACTTGCACTAGCTTCCATTGGTATACGTGGTGCATTATTAATAGGCCCAAGTAAAGATGGTGTATCTTCATCATCTTCTAATGTAACAAGACGACCATTTGATGATATAACATCACCCACAACTCGTACTTGTTGTCGACGTCGTTCTTCCATCTCATATCGTTCATTTCTTGAACGTTTAGTATTTGTTTCAACAAAACGTAAGATAAGTAGATTACCACTAGAAGCGACTATTGTTAGACCAGTTAAAATAAACATTATACAAAATAAGATATATAACCAACCAATACTACCATAATCATCTTTTTGCATAGGTACTAAATCTCCAAAACCTATTAATTAATTAAATTTTCTATTATATAAAAAACAAAAAAAAACAATGAGTAAAATACACATACCAATAGTTGTTCTAAATAAAGAAACAGAAAAAAATAAAATAAATTTTCTTTCAAAGATCAAATTTTAAAAATATAGATATGAACTAACTTGATACTTAACTAATGATTTCGCTTCCAAAAAAAAATTAGAACATATACAAGCGGAATAAAAATATAGTGCTTTTGAACCTCGAGGCAAGCTTATAAGAATTGGTCTATATTGTCATAATCAAATTGAGAATTGTCATGCCTGCAAGAAATCTCTTAACCAGTATTTTAGAATATGCTTTCAATTTTCATGTTTACATTCAATTATATAAGATTAAAGAACATGTTTAGAAATATCAAACGACTAAGTATTATTCTTTAAAACAATATATATGTAAAAAAAAATACTTACAATGTTAATAAACAATAATAAAATGCATCAAAATAGCGCCAATTTTCATATCGATGAAATACATATGAACCTGTTGCAAGTGTTAATACAGTTAATAATGCTTCACATGTTAATAATTCCATTGCTGTTATTTGCGGTTCACGTTTACGTTTAAAATGTCGTTTAATACGTTTTAAAACAAATGTTATTAATGAATTAAGTCGTTCACCAACACTTTGAATCATAATAAGCCACATTGGTATACCAATTAATGCATATGCAATTGTTACAGCACGTCCTGCTTTAGTATACGGTATAGCGTGCCCATAACCAACAAGAGCAAGAACAACAGTTGCATAATAAAATGACCCAATAAATTTCCATTGTTTTTTACGATAATTTAAACGTGATTCAACAGTTCGTGTTAAATTTTCGAATTCACTCTTACTCATATTATGCTGTTGTCGAAAAACATCGATACGTGTTTGTAAATTAGCATAACTAATTGATTCTTGTGTTGATTCTAATCTATCGAATATAGCTGCACCAATAACAAGATAAACAAGTGTTGTAAGAACATATGCTAATGTACGATAATTTTGAATACGAAAAGGTGTTTTAGTTGTTGGTGTTAAAACGACATCAGGACCAGGTGGCCTTTAACAATTATAATATATTAGATTAAAAGAAAATTTTTTTACAAGGATACATACATATTTATTCAGATAATTGTATCATATTCAATGACTATTTTATTTATATATCATCTAATTTAATTGATGACAAGACAACAAATAATAATAATAAAATATCTTATGTTGTGACAGTTGGTATCTGAAAAAAGAAGATGCTAACTATATAATCAATGAAAAGCAAATAGAAGCACCTGGTTTCGTTCTTCTTTAATAATCCATTAGCATTTCTATATTATCTCAAAAATTGGAGTCGTATAATCAATAACAAATATCAATTTCCTCTGTCAATTGCAAGGAAATCTGACACTGTATATAATATTTATCGATTAAGTAATGTATAAACAAAAATACTATCATTTAGATATACAAAAAAAAAGAGAAAGAAAAGTCATATCTGTATATATAATCTTTTATTGTTATACACATATGCGGGATATTATTTGTGCACATAATTTAAGTTATATTATAATAGACAATAAAAGAAGAAATCAATGACTAGAAAGTTAATTTCTATTTCAAAGAAAACTATTGAACGAAATGTGCAAATTGAAAAAGAAAACTTATCATACTTATTGATAAGAAAATTAGAAACATACGAGATCTTCTCGATCGTTATATTCTTCTTCTTTTATGCTTTATTATAAAAAAAATTTCTAAGCATCATCATTCGATCTTATTCTTCTACGACATTGTCTGATTGCAAATTCTACTCAATGTTTATCATGGTTCGATCACCACCAATCGATCATAATCTAATAAAGTAAACTTAAGAAGCAAAAAAAAAGAAAAAAAAAAGAAGACAACGACGAGAGAAGTGAATGTTGGCTCGTAACATCTCCCTCTCTCTCTCTCCCTCCCTGTCTTCATCGGTTCTAATGATGATCGATGAGTGAACACAAGCGACAAATGTCTTTCGACACGCGCATGTTGATGTGAAGAAAAAAAAACAAGCAAATAAAATTTGTAACAACTGTCAACTTAACGAATAGTAAAAACAAACGAATGAATGAATAGAAACTACGACACCGTTCTGATCGATGAATGATCAAAGAAATGATGACGTTATTGTCAATACACAGAACAACTCTCTTTAACATATATATATATTTTTATTACTATTATTATTATTGTTTTATTCAACCACATCCGTTAGGCGAACTCTCTGAAATGTTTGATTCAATGCTGCATACTCTCATTGTTAATTGGAGCGCAAAGCTATAAGGAATAATAAGGGAGAAAAAAAAACTAAAGTCAAACTCACTTGAATAAGTCAGCCGAAGCAACATATACTACTAAATAAGAAGATAAAAGAAGTAAGATTTAAAAGTTTCTCTTTTTTTTTTACATATGATTATTCAAATGAACGGTTGAGTCCGAACAAAGACATGATCAAATGATAGAATATGATTGAGATATATATATATATATAAAATTTTGTGTCTTTAAAGATTTTATGAATAGATACTATTATTGTTTGCTATTCTCTTGTTTTCCTTCTCTATTTCTATCTTGTCTTTTACTCTATCTATCTACATGTGCTAAGCAATGAAACGAGACGATGACGAGAACGTCATGCATTGCTCTATCTTCCTCGTTCTCTCTTCGTCACTACTCATCAAACAAATACTATCTAGAGAGAAAGAGAGAAAGAGATATACGGAGATAGAAGAAAACGAGGATGACATGGAAAATCTTTTCTTTTTTTAAATGAACATGCAACAATAACAAAGACTAATAAAAGCAAAAAAAGAAAGATAGTTTTCTATGGTTGCTTTCCATTATTATTATTATTATTTTCCGAAAATTGCCGAGTATTGGTCTTGTATATACGCGGATGTCACCAATAATAAAAAAAAAACGAAGAAAACAGAAAAAGAAAACGAAGAATTACTGTGAGAAGAAGAAAAAAAAAGAAGAAGAATAATGATAACAAATATTTTTTCTTATCCAACAAATTTGTTTTACTTTTGTCAGGTATAACTATGATTATTTAACAACAAAAACAGATAATCTCAAGTGACAGATATAAATAGGTGAAGAAGAAGAAGAAAAACAATTTTTCTGTTGTTGTTGTTGTAGTGTCATTAACAAGCAATTTTCAATATTTGACAAGTACGTTGAAAAAATAATGTTCTTGCAAATTTATATAATTCAATATCATCACTGTTGACTTGTCGTAGATAATTTAAATCAATTGTTGTTACATTTGTTGTTAAATAATCATTTGTTTGATTGTTTGTTAAATCTTGTTCAAGATAAGATTGAAATGAACAGATTTGAAATAATTTACAAAATCTTGTCTGTTCAAATAAACGTTGACTTAAATGAAGATATTCAGTTAAACCAAAAAATTCCATTGATTGAAGATTTTTTTTAGCTGTTTCAATATCAATTAAATTTGAATAAGTAAATGATGATGATAAACAATTATTTACTGATGATGATAGCATACGTGTTTGACGATTTATAGCTGAATTAAATGGACATAGCATAAAATCAGTTAGATTTGTATCTAAATAAGAAATAATTATTATTAAATTAAAAATTAATTTTTTTTTATATTTACGTCTCCAACAAGCACTTTGATTACGAAGTTGTTGAGCTTTCTGACAAGATAAGCGTTCAGAAAGCCATGTTGCTCCACGAAGTGTATGAAGGTATTCACTAATAAAACGTGCGATTGGTTCGCGAAGTAATGTTGCATAGAGAAATCTAGATTAAATTTAAAAAATATAATTGAACTCATTTTTCTTGTTGTTATTAAAAATTTTGTATATATATTTTTCTGTATAAGACAGATTATTAGTAATTAATAATTGCTTATATTTATTGTTAAACATCATCAACAGATCATTTTCACATCGTTAAAAATGAATTAATTATACTGTAAAAAAAACTAAGAATAATGTCTATAAATAAATCATATATACTACTTTGTATGTAGTTTATAGACACGACTATTATTAAAGAAATGTTCTCTTGAAAATATAATTGTTAGGTTTTAATGATATGTATAACGATAAGTTCACTCATTGTAAAATATTGATATAGTTTTTAAAAGATTAGAGAGATTAACTCCGTTTAACTTTCTAATACAGATGAAATTGGAAGTGTTTAGTCTGCGAAATTCTCTCACAGGTTGTATTTATATTGAAGTTGTAAATTAATCGTAGACGAAAAACTTTTGTCATCGAATTTCAATAGATAAAGTGAAAATATGAATGATATTAAAGAGTACGTATCAAGGTGAATTTTTAAGCAAGACTATGCTGTATATTGACATTAAAGTTTCAATGTCATTATTCCAAGAAGACGTGCAGAATTTGGCCTTCTGCGTGAACGTGCGTTCGGGGAAATTTTTGAAAAATTATTGACTTTGAAATTTTTTCTATCGGGAAATAATAAGGAAATTTATTTAGATGAAAATATTATTCTATACGTAAATGATCTGATATGTTCATTAGGATAGAATATATTTTAAACATATTGTAGTCCCTTGACTCTCTTCATTTCTTCAACAAAAATTTGTTGTGATTGATTTTTCTGCGTTCGGGAAAATTTTTCATTTTTACAGAAGATTCTGCACTCCTGATTCCTAGTCTTACTTATATGTTTATTATTGCTCTCTTTTCAGTGCTTAAGGATCATCAAAAAAATACTTTGATTTTGCCCTATCGAAATATAATATTTAATTACAATATTCATCTATATATTGATATTATCACTTTCTTTCGTGTCTTATAAGCAATAGTTTATTAATAATTCAAATTCATTGCTATATTTTGCCATAATCTCTATAAAATACGTAGATGTTTCTTTGTTATGTCTATTTTTATTGTACATGTTAATTAAAATTTTTCTTTAATCATATTTTTCCTATCATCATACCAATCTTTTGTTTTGTCTATACCTTTGACATTTATCATATTGATAGTTCATTTATATGAGAAAGTTCTAGTAGTAAAATAATCTAATTTATAACTAAAGATTACGAATAAAATTGTTTCTTTTTTTTGGGAAATTATAATCGTAAATAATTCTTTCTATTCGTCGAATAAATCTACAGAGGCGACTACAAATCTTTGACTCAGGAATGAGAAATATGTAGGTTTGTAGAGAAAAATTTTCTCTATCGAATTCTGTTGAGTACGGTAAAAATCGGTTTTTGGCTTGAATTCAAGCCTATTAGAGACCTGTATCGGAGTCAACTAAATCTCTTGCCTATAATTCATCTTTTACATTAAATTTTTTTTGAGGTGAAGATTTTGCTCTCTGATGCTTTCTCTACAAACTGATGTATTTTGAGGGTTCAAATCAATGTTTTATTGAGATTCACGGACACAAAAGAAAGTTGGATGTATGTCTCTAACTGGCTTGAATTCAAGCCAAAAATCGATTTTTACGATAGTCAACAGAATTCGATAGAGAAATTTTTTCTCTACAAACCTCTCATTCCTGGGTAAAACTTTACTATGAAATTTGTGGTCGCCTTTTATCAAACTTTCTTCGAATGATTTCTGATTATACTTCAACTTTCTTTAATAATTAACATACTTTCGTTTATTAAAACCATATTCCGAATTCATTTTCAAAGGTAAACATCGATGATAAGTTGTCCAATCTGCATGTACTCCACATATCCATCCAACACTAAATCGACTAATAAGCCATGGTTCATTATTTCTTAAACAATTACATCGCAATTTAATACTTGGTCGTTTAGTACGATTATTTCTTAACATAACTGGACATCGACAACTTGGTTGTGATTGAAAATAAAGTCGACGAACAATTGATCGTTCAAATGCTGAACCAGCAGTTTTTTGTATATGAATAAAAACAAGTGTGGGAACATTATTCTCTTGATTATTATTCGTTAAATATTGTATTTGTTGTTTTAAATGACCAGTTAAATAAGTAAAAATGATGATAACAATCAATAGAATTGTTATCAACTTCCACTTGATCATCCGCACATAAGCCAAACAAAAAGAAGAATAAAATGCTCTCTATTGAATAGAGAGAAAGACAATAGTGATGGCATCGTTGACCGACGCGATTGTTTCTTTCTCTTTTAACGGCAAAAGAAACAGATAGGTCAATGGAAAAAAAAAGAGGGATGTGCGAACACATCTGCTCATTTTATTCTATCTATTCAGTCATCGTCTGTTTAAATAACGAAAAACACATTTTTACATTCAATTAACATATATTAAAAAATATTCATTACACGTTCTTTTATAATTATTTATTTATAAAGTCATTTATTATATTCCATAGAAATAAAGTTTTTTTTTTGTTCAAATAAATGAGATAATTTTTTCTTATAATTTTAATAACACAACATTTTACTGAAAATGACATATATATACAACAATTATGAAAATTAAATAAAAGAAAAAAAATGAAAACAACATTTAAACATCATCATAATGACTTCGAATTGTCGAGTTTTTATGAAGAACACCATTACGTAGTGTATCTTGATGTCCATTTGTTGTTATAAATCGATGTGTTTCTTGTTGTTGTTGACGTTTAACACTACGTAAAGTTGCTGATTGAGGAGTCTAAATAAATATATATAATAGATTATTTAAATATAGATAGTTTTCGTTAGATACCTCATGTCGATGTGGAGTTGTTTGAGCATAATGTGAAGTAGTAGTAATTGGTGTATAAGTTGGCCATGAATTCATACAACATGGTGACCAAAGCCAAGAAATAACTGCTCCAATCATTGATAGAAGAGCTTGAACTAACGCTAATGTGAATGTTATTAATAATGCTAAATTATCAAATGTTGCTGGTTCTTCAAATGGTACAAGTACATGTCTAAATTAAATGAATATTTAGAAACTTTTTTTATAAATATTATCATATTTACGTTGAAGTTATTGGTGTTGTTGTTGTAGGTTGTGAAGATTTCAAATTATTTGATGAATTTGTTTGCCAATATTGTAATGTATGTACAACAAGAAGACCAACATAAATCGATGAAAAGAGAAAACTGATCAATGATGATACACATATAAGAATTGGCTAAATTAGAAACATAACTTTATTATATGATTGAATAAATAGATTCTTCTTTTTTGTTTTACCATAGTTGGTCGTTTAAATAAAGTGTAGGTTACACAAGAAAGAAATGGGATGATTGTCTAGGAGGAAAAATAAAAAAAAAATGATATTTATCACGTTTCTAATCATAAATATTAAAATGGGTGGAGTTGAACAAAATACACAAGAGAAGATATGATTATTGTCCAAAGTAAGCATATACATTTATTTGATTGAAAGAAAATAACCTCTGGGTATATGACAGTATATTTCACACTTCTCTCTATATGTCATAGATTATTCAATCAACCAGAAAATATTCTAATAGAACTAAAATGCTAGAGATTCAGTTGAATGAAACTAAAAGACTATGAAATGATATTTGATTAGTATAATGAATATAAATATCATCTTGTCAATGATAAATTTATTTGATAAGAAGAAAAAAAGAATGAAAATTATATCTTTGTTTAAATAAAAGAATTGATTTGCTTTATCAAGATCCAAAAGGGTAAGAAAGCTTTGTTCAGTATTCATTAAACTATCATCATATCTGACATTTTTGATGTGTCCTTATATCAATATATCCACTTGATGATCTCTTTTCTCATAAAGACTGACTTACAATTGTGGCCGATGGGTAAATATACCACAGATGTATATCATTCATCGATAATGTAGTTGGAAAAAAATTGAGTATATTGATATTGCTATTCTGATGAATCGTTCTTTCAGTTATATATCGATGACTTATTGTTATACATATTTGTGCTAATCCAGTTAAGAATAGAAATATCCCATAGATTAGTAATGTTTCAGCTTGAGCAACAAATGTGTAAGAAGACTTGCGTGGTGTCATTTATATGTATGAATGAAAATGAAGATCAAAATGAAAAGAAACAAATGTAATAGTTGTCGTTGTTACTTCGCCTGATCTCATTTAATGAACTTTTTTGTTCTTCTTTTTTTTTCTTCCTCTTCCTCTCTCTCTCTTTTTGTCCCTCTTTCTTCTCCTTCTTTTTTTCCCTTTCTTCTATGGATGGATGTCTGCCTGTCTGTCTTTCTTCTTGCGTGAATGTGATGAAAAAGGAAAGGGTGAGTGAATGAATGAATGAATGAATGAGTATGAGAATAGAGTCGTTTACTCTAAGAATAACCGAACAAGAAAGAAAAAAAGAGAGAATAGAGTTGTGACTGATTTGTCAAGATGTAGGAGCAGCAGGACAGATTTTTATCTATGGACGAACCTAAACTTGTCTGTGATGGTTCAAAGAAGGGCGAACAAGTCGAGAAAAAAAGGAAAAAAGGAAGAGGTATTCTTATGTTCTCTTACTACAAACAAATGTGCTTTTATTAAATCTACTGTTTCTCTTTTTTCAAAGGTGACAAGGCCATAGTATATTACGTCTTTCTCAAGTCAAGAGATAGAAGTTACAGGAAGTTCTAAGGAATAAGGTTAGAAACTTCAACACATAGAGCATCTATCACAATCAGTCTCTATTTATTAATCTTTATGATGCCGTCTGTTCGATGACCGTTAGTCTAATGACTTTCACATGCGTTAGTGAATGATATATTTACATATACTTAAGAAAAAGAAAAAAGAAATGCCTTATTAAAAGCAACAACTGTCATTCGTGAAAAGCTTATTAATTTTAATAGACCAGATGAACATGAAGAAAGAAAATTTATTTTATTTATTTTCTTTTTTGAAACATTCTACAGTTAAGATTATTGGCAGATTCTGATTAAACAATGAATTCTTAAGATATTTTATAATTAATTCTATCTATAGATTAATAAAGCCTATAGTTATAATTCTTTTGTCTTTCATATGAAATAAAATTAAGTTTTTTTTCATGTTTGATTACATAATATTGCAAGACGTTGTTTCGAATGTTAATGATAAGAATGAGACATTTGATCATTAGGAAGAATATGTTGTATTCAAATTTTTATGATGGATGACATTGTTTGACTATCGCATTTGATATCTTTGTAAAAAAATTTACTCATTTGTTCTCTAAATGATTAGAAAGATTGAATAAGAATTCTTTTGATAATTACAAAATACAATAGTAATAAGTAATGAACCGATATTGATCTTTATCTTGTCTCATTAATAGAAATACTTTTATATGAGATAATCAAAGATTTTCATTTCGTTATTGTATAGATATATCTATAGAATATAAAATAAAGATACATGTTATATTTATATTCCAAATAGATACTGATGTTTAGATTTAATCATGATAATCGATTATTTTATGAAGTGTAACCTATGTGTTAACTTTATTCAGCATAGTACTGAATATCAAGCAGATTCATTCTTCTTCTTTTTTTCAATTCATCTATCGCATGACAACAATATGTTTTATATAATTATATTATGACATAAGATCTTAATAATAGTTTTTATTAATGCTTTGAACTATGAAAAGATAAATCAAAGCAAAATATTTATACGAATCTAGGTAGTTAAGTTAATTATTATATAAACTTGATAAAATAATCAAATTTCTGTTTTGAAATAAATGATACCTAGACGTAATATAATATTTTCTTCTATCTAAAATTAGTTTTTTCAAACAAAGCTTTCCTAGAATTTTCTAAATATGGAATAGTTATTGAGACTTTAATATACTTAACAAATAATCATCCAGAGTAAAAGAATTAGAGAAGTGTATTTAATTAGGATTTAGTCCTTTAACTGAAATATCCTACTACTGAAACTTTTATTCAATTGATTGTAGAAATTATAAATTCATGAACACATCTTGTTTTTGCTCATTTAAATCATCGTCAATAATTGATTTTTCTGTTTCAATCTCTGTTATTTTATACAGCGAGGGTTTGTCGGAGAGACAGTAGTCATAATGAAAAATTGGTTTTCGGGGCATATTCAAGGTAGTGAAATATATTTTTTTAATGCTTTTTTACTAAAAGAAAAAGAACTGCCAGAGGGTGGCGGTCGCCGGATCACCAATCACTGCGATCACCATTGATTCTATATTCATTACTTTCACAATATATGTTTACATGTTATTACTCGTTCGAGTAGTAGTAGTACTATTCATATATGCATGAATGAATAATCAAGTGGTAAACGAAGGAATATTGATACTACTACAACATCATCAATGTCTTGTACAGTTTGTTATAATGATAATGTTTATATTACCATACGTTTTGTTTTGATAACTGGCCAGATAATTGACCAAAGAGAAAGTCATGCTAATCACTATAACATTGTTTTATAGTAGTAATATAGATTGGTAATCAAACGGAAATATCTTGTGTAAATGAAGATATTTCTGATTGATTGGATAAACGAGTGTTTTTCTATATCGATTGATCGACCGATATAATCATAATTTCTTTTTTCATTTTTATTAAATTTATTAACAGAATTTTTTATATTCAATTACGTTAGTGCAAAAAACAATAAAAATTAACTAAAATTGTTATTATTTACAACAAAGAGACAAACAGAAAACAAAAATATGATGTTTTGTTGCTTAATCATCAATTAATATAGGTTCATTTGCTGATGATGATAAAAATCTTCTATTGGATTTGAAATCGAATGATTCACTCATCATATTCGATTGTACAACAGGTTTCCATTGAAGATGAGCATCAATTGTTATTTCAGTTATATTATCACTTTGTATTGAATTTAATATTGATTCTGTATATAAATCAACTTGTAAATCATCAAATAAAGCAGATTTATTACAAACCGGACACACCCATTTATTTGATTTTTCATTTAAAGCTAGAAGAAAATATAAATAAATAGATAAATTTATAAAAAATCTAGTCCTTTTTACCAATATAATTCGTTAAATCAAAGCATTGTAAATGTTGACAAGTAGTTGCTCGTATAGGTATTTTTAAACGTTTTTGATCAATAGGACATATTAATTTTAATTTTTGATCGCTAACTTCTAAACCAAGTTCACGATCTTTAGTACGTGCTCTCTCTAAGATTTTTGCTAAATCATCACGATAAAATTTTGCCATTTTTTTAAGAATTTGTTCACATAATTGTTTAATTGTTAAACGTTCAGTAAGAAATATATGTAATGCATATTCTGCATTGACATATTGTGCACATAAAGCAGCATTATCTTGACGACAATTCCATGTAATAGTAATATCATTTTTTAATATTGGATTAAACATACAAAATGATGTTATATCGATTTCACGTCCACTACGTATTAAATCTTTTTGTTGTCGTGTACATGGTTTTGGTATTGGTAAATTTGTTAAAATATGACCATTAACATGAATAGCTAAATTAGCAGGAAGATTATCTTCATATTTTCCATTGGGTGCTGGTGGTAAATCAGTACGTACAAGACGTAAGATAAGACAATTACTTGTCTTGTAAGTATCGATATTAGGATCATAATCATATGATAAAGCTAATTGATTACATGCATCTAATGATAAAACAAATTCATCATGTGATAAAGATTGTTTACGATTTGAATCATAATTAAATATATTATAACGTTCATGAACACATGATATTGTACGTAGGAATGGTAAATTTTTATGAACGATTCTTTGTATTTGCGGACGTTGACTAGGAATTATTGGAGATGAATTAGGAGTGGAGTTTGAAGTGGATACTGTCGATGGTGTTGAGACAGGTGAAGATTGAGGTAAAACTGGAGCTGGACGTCGTGGACCAGCAGGTCGATTGGGGCTGCTCGTTACGTGTGTAGGTGAAGGATGTCTCGCTGGATGTTGCAAAGAAATAAGAGAAGGATTAAAGGTCGCTTTTTGTTGTAGTTGTTGCTGTTGGTGTTGTTCTTGTTGTTGTTGGACACGAGCATTCGAAATACCAGTCGACTGAGGTGCAGCTGCATTCGGTCGAACTAATAAAAAACATAAATTAAATAGAATAAAATATATATGATATTAGTTAATAACATTACTACTAAGACAAAGTTTCATTTAATTCAGTTACTATAAAATATTTCACTGAAATATGACAAAAACTCTAAGTAATAGTATATATTAATATTTCAAAATATATTCAGATAATATCTGTAATACTGCTATTGATATGTACTCGACTAACGTTTCGATAAATCTCAGAACTAATTCTCAATATATAAAATGATTGTATATAACTAATTACGTGTTCTTAGTTGTCGTGATATTGCTGGTGTTGCTGAAAAACGAAAATTTGATGGTGGAGTATATTGCGCTGCTTGTTGAGGATAATAAAACATTTGCTGTTGCTGTTGTTGTTGTTGCTGCTGCTGCTGCTGCTGTTGTTGCTGTGGTATTTGCTGTTGATAATGATGATAAAAATCAGTTTGAGTACGTTTTTGCATTAAACTCATTATTCCTTGTTCTAAATCTGCTGAATAATAATTATCAATAAGAATTAAACCTTGCTGAAGAAGTTGTTGATATGTATAATTTTGAAATTTATTTGTTATTGTAGAATTTGGCATATGAGTTGAAAGAATTAAACGTAAATGTTCGATTTCTAATTCACTTAACATTTGATAAAGACGTGCACGATGTTCTTGTGTGAGAGGATAATTTTTATTTGTAATATTTACAGCATGTGTTGGTTGCATTATTTTTTTTTTGATTAAGAATAGTATAAATTAAGAAAGACTGTAATATCAAATTACGTTAAAAACAATTATAATGTCATAAAAAAAAGTTTAAAAAAAACAAAGTTTTGTTCGATTTTGATATGTGCAACATTTGACGCTTGACTAACCAACAACGATGAGATTCGTTACTTGGTAATGAATCATATTGTAACAAAATGTCATCTAAAATAGAATAAATTCTTCGAAATTTATTATTTGTATAAAAAAAATCGAAAATAAATTAATTTTTAAAAGAATAAATTAATTGATTTTGTATTTATTTTTCTATCTTCTATTAACGACATCTATCTTATACAAGAATAGATTATATTTTTCCTAGAAACTATGATAACGAGATAGATATATGATGTTATGGCTGAATTAATTCAATGAACAAAGAAGTTCAACATCTTTTCTTCTAGTTTAATCATATGTCATTTCTTGATCAAATTAAATCCAGTTTGACAATTATCTGTAATCTATTTTCATCATGTATTCAACATTATGCTCTTCATTGTAGTACAGATGGTCATTTTGCTCAATTAATTTTCGGAGCAGATTTAATTCGTGCTCATCGATCTTCATCTACTAATAGTTCTCCGACGGCTATTACTCAACTTCTTAGTAATCATTTTGTTTCATTTGAAGAACAATTAGGTACAAATGTAAAAACATTAGCATTTTTTCTACATGATCTAGTATTTGATCATGATATTGTTAAAATGAATATAAATGAACGACGTTTATTTTTTATAAATATCTATGAAAAATTACAATTACTTGATTATATATCAATAGATAACAATATTCTTCGTAAAAAGGAAGATATTAATATTGATTTATTAATTAATCATATTTTTGATACATTACCAAGAATAATTTTCGATCGAAATGGTTCATATTATGATCTTCTCTCTCGTTTAATCAAACGTTTGTATTTATCTATGAAATTAAAATAAAACGACTACTTTTTCTTTTTTATATATAGATAATTTCGATCGAATTGATGATTATCTTATTTATAATCAACAATTATCTTTTATTACTACAGGTTCGTCAATAGCACAATCTCGTTTAATTGATGGAATACTTTTACCAATTCATAATTCGAAGAAATTATTACCATCATTTATTTCTAATAGTAAATTAACCGTTGTATTTTTAAATATTGAATCAACTGAATTTGATAAATCTTCATCATTTTCAATAATTGATAAAAATCAAGAATTCGTTTCTTATGATACATTAATCTATCGTCAATTTATAAAAAAATATTTAATAGATGTCAATTTAATTATTTCATTATCATTTATTGATGAATTATTTCGTTTTGAATTACATCAAGCAAATATAAATATTATTGATTCATTAGATGAACAAACATTCGAATTTCTATTAAAAGTTTATCGATGTATACCATGTAATCGATTATTTATTGCAGAAGATGAATCAATTGAAAAAATATCAACGGTTCTAATCGATCGACATGTTATGATTAATCAACAAGCACATATTTATTTATCTTCGAATGGTTAGTTACAGAAGAAGAATTATATTGCTTAGATATAGATTCTTTATAGGATATCAGTGAAATATATTCGATTCGGGTTTCTACTATAAAACGGTTTCTTTTCGAAATAATTAAATGTTTTTACGCGTATTAAACAAATTTTTGCAAAATATCTTATAATATGAGTATACATCGAGAGAGAAAAGTCTAAAAGAATTCAGGTCGCTTTTTAATAGTTTATTTTCAATAGAGCATTAGAGTTATATATATGAGTTAAAAGAGAAAACGAATGAACAGCTTGCTTCTTTAAATCTATAGAGTTTAATTCTCATAATTTCATTTAAATTGCTAGGGCTATATATTATTGAACGAATACACTCTATTATATAGCAACGATTGATTTTTGAATATTGTTTATTATAGAACAAAATTCGTTTTTATGATCTACTAAATAAAAAATAATTAAAGTCATTCCTTTAAAACACACCCATTTTGTGAACTTCCATAAATTTGAATCTAATTTTATAGACAATAGTGTTCTCTTGTTGCAACATTCGATTGATGCAAGCTGCTATGCGCCGTAAGGTGCCATTCTCGATTTAATTACTTTTTAATTGAGTGGCTTCCAGCCAGATGTCCGTAAAAGTAGAATCAATAGTTACTGCTGTGATTGTCTTATAACTATTTTTCTTTGTATCTTTATTGCTCAGTTTGTTTTATAATAAACAAGAAAGATAATTGAAGTCATTATTTTAGGTGCTCATCAAACTCTTCTCACTTGTGTTCCAACAGCTACATTAATTTTAACAACACAAAAAATTTTAATTAATATTGTTCGTCTTATTCAATTAATTCTAGAAAAATTAAATAAAACATTATCTTTACCATTAGCAACAGAAAAAGACTATCTAAAATATGTTAATGATAATATTCCTGAATTAAAACATATTTTAGATAATCGACGTATTTATATGGATAAACAATCTAATATGAAATACGATCAACTATATCCAATATGTATTTTTCATGAATATCTATTAAATGGAATTAATTTTCTATGTTATATTAACAAAATTGATGGTATATATAGTACTACAAGACAAAATGTAGTAGAAAAATGTTAACAAATAAAAAAAAATGTTTATTTTTTGTTCTTTTCTTTTTTACTAAATGAATAAATATATTTGTATATATATAGGTCTCTTTATTTATTTTTCATCTTATTACATAATATTGCAACAACAATAAGCACCATTAGGTCCAGCACCATAATATGGCGGATAATTTCGTTCACGAACAGGTACCCAATATTCACGTTGTGTATAATTTTTTGAGTGTGATGGTGATGGTAATTGAATCGTTAATATTTGATTTGCATCCATACGAGCATGTACTTGATCAGGATCAATATTCGAGGGTAATTGATATTGTCGATAATATTCACGATTAATATGATTACCATATGTATTATCAATATGTTGACCATTGATTTTAAGTAAACCATTTCGATTTATTCGAACAGTAACATGTTCAGGTTTATAACCTTGTAAATCAAATGTAAGAACATCATTATTATTTGTTTGTAAATCATGACGTCGTGGTCGAACTTCAATATCAACACGAAGAAGTCCACGATTATCAATTGTATTTCTTACAATTGTTGTTTCAACATCGGGCCCACCAAGATTATATTCACGTTTAAATTCACGACATGGAGGACGATGTGCACGTATGCGTAATGTACCATAGTCATCAAGTATAACAGTGATTTGTTCTGGTTCATAATCAAGTAAATCAAATTCATATGAATATGTTCGACATCCTTTACCATGATCTTGAATTGAATAATTATGTGATGGGGATCTTATATGATTTTTATTTGATGAATGTTGAGTATAAACAACAGGAATAATAGTCGAAGAAGCCATATATAACGTGTGTGTTAACAACGATAATGTTATACAGACGAATAGAATACCTTATTCGTTTAGTTTGTTCTTTCTTTCATCATTTGTATTTGCTTCGTTCTGCACAAAAACATACTCTGTCATCACATAGAAATAACTAACTGTATCCTTGACAGTATTTTTAGCCTTTATATACGCATGTGTATGCAGCTTCTTTCTTCTTTTTTTTTTGTCTTGTATGTTGACAGGCATAGACATATGTATACAGATGTTGAGAAAATGGAGAAGAGATATACAGAAGAAAGAATATTGATAGGCGTACCCATTATGTACATTTCTTGTTCTCGATAACTACAATGACGGGTCGTCACACACCTACTCATATAATCTTGAATGGCATGATATTTAAGTAAAGCGAAGGAGATGTCTATATAATAACTTTTACTTACTGTCTACAACTACCTCGATAATAATAAAAGTAGTTTTAATATATATATATGCATAGATGAATTTAAAAAATATCTTATAAGATATAGAAAAATTTGTTAAATTTATGTTCGATAATTTCTTTTTTAATGTTTTATTGAAATGATTTGCTTAATGAACCTTATGTTATATACGGATGTATAGATAATAGATATGATTATGCAATCTGTGAAAATCAACATTTGGTGTATGGTGTCAGAAAAGCAATTGATTAGATCATTTGTTTGATGCGGTAATATTGTCGAGAGACAAAAAATAGCTGTTCATATTTAAAGATTATGTAATATTCACATTAACATATATAAAGAAATTACGATTGACAAAATGTCTATCAAACCATTTATATACTTAATAATACTATTTGATATATAATGTTTTTTTTCAAAAAAAAATGAATCTTTGCAATACTATTGCTTTGGGTCTTGTATGTGTATTTGAAACTTATCCGCTGCATTATAAACAATCTTATTGATATAATAACAAACTTATTTAGCTTCCTGTGACTGTGTAGATCGGTAAAATAAAGTTAATGATGAAAAGATTATATATTATCGTAGAGAAATCCAATTAAAATCTAATTTTAGTATAAGATAAAATTTCATTAATGCAAAATTAAACAATATGAATTATTCTATGATGCATTAATAATAGAATTGAAGCCGAAGGTAATATAAATAGTACTGATCTCTTTTTCAATTCATACTACTAAAATTTGAATCGAAAATTTTTTTTTCTTTTACAAAAGAATCAACATGTTCAACTAACTGGACTAATTCTTCATCAAACTCTATAATATCAAGTAACAATTATTCAAATTTAGTCATCTTTGCATCCCTTCAGCAATAATACGATTTATTCAATAATTCTTTCTATAATAATCTGTTGTCAGTAGATAAATAAAATCTCGGTTCCAAACAAATAGATAATTCTATACGAGAATATATATTGAATGACTCAATCAAGGTTCATTGTATTTTTACGGATAATTTCTCTATAATGACAGTACAAAATGTGAAAGATTTATTGTTTGTATGTTCGAAATATTATTCTAAGATAACATAGCTGATAGACATGTTATTCTACTTAGTACTAGGATGATTAATAGTTTCCTATCTTATGTCAAAAAGTTATTATAATATTTTTCATTACTTGTAATCAGTAAAAGCCATTTCTATCATATTACTATTATTATTAACACATATAGTTATTCTTTCTAATTTACTTTTTTGTTTTCTTATTCTGATAAGATAATCTGTAAGTTAAAGATATTATATTTCATTAAATATAAAACAACATATAAAGATAGTTTAATAGATAACAACATCAAAAAAAAGGGGACATTAAAAGATCAATAAAATCTTCTTTTTTTTGTTACTGCACAAATAATATTGAAAAATGTCTATGCACATTGTCTATTTAATATCACAAAGAAGTGCAACACCACGTAATGTCCATACATTGGGTCCTGTTTTATCACCAGGTGGACATTCTAATTTAAGTGTACATACATAATTTCTATCAGTTCGACGTGGTTTTTTATAAACAGGTGCATAATAAGTTGGACGACGATCTTGTTTTGTAGGTGATCCACTTGTACCAAAATCAGCTTCAGCTGATATGTGTATCACAGGCATTGGATGTGTTAATACTTTTTCATTTGCTTTTAATTCATCCAAGACACCGTTTCTTATTTTTGCTCCTTCAATATAAATACCATATACATAAACACCACCGTCCTTTGGTGGTTCTTTTATACTTTCACGATCAAATCGTGTGATTTTATTTGTTAAGATAACATTATCAAGTGACCAACCTGGATTCGCTCTTGTTATTTCCTTTAAAGAAAATAGAAATAAAAGTAGAAGTAACGAAAATAAAATTTACTTGTCTCATAGCTGTTAAAAATCCTTGTGGATTAAAAAATCCTGTCATCCAATAAGCAAGTGGTTTTGTATCTTTATCAAGTTTTAACCATGAACGATATTGTTCATTTCGTGCATATAAATCACTAAACCAAGCACCTAATGTTGATGATTCCCATGAGTATCTTAACCAAACATTTGGAATTTTAGCATCATACATTCGATCAAGTGCATCACGTAATTCTTCATTCATAACAATTGTACCATCAATAGCTAGTTTTAAATCAATTAATGTATGTCGTACAACACTAATTACACGTTGAAAACGATCAATTTCTTGTCGAAGAAAAATATTCATTGGTTCAAGCTTTGAAAGACGTTCTTTGACTTCATGAGCAATATAATCCGGTGGTAATTTTTCTAAGGCTTCTGTTGCTAAACGATAAATAACAGCTTCACGTGTTTCACCTGCACCACCACGAGCTTCTTTTGGTTGAATACTTAAAATTGTATCGAGAACTCTCCTAGTTGTATCTTCTTGATATCTATGAATAATAAAAATAAATAATTTTAAATGAAACAATGTTTTATCCACGTTTCTTTTTTCAGGTGAGCGAAATGAAAATTTTGGGTGAGCGCCGCCCACTCAGCCCAATCGCTAGATTTTTTATTGTATTAAATTTTACAAACCTGTCATTGGCTAATGGGCTTAATCCAAATACTTTTCCACTATCATAATTTGGTATTGTATCTATATAATTGAAAATGTCATCCATATGTGTTATTTTTGGTATACGATAAGTTTTTTCTTCAAATTGAAAATTTGGATCAAACATTTCATCACGAAACCAACATTGAACATATGTTTTAAGAAGACGTTTATCAAAATCATCGGTTACACGTCCTAAATTTATTAAGTTTAAACTTCATTTATTTTTCAAAAGTATTATTCATACCTCCATATTGTACTTCGGAAATCATGTAATGTATAGTTTTCCATTGTATTGGCTAAAAAACATGAAAAATTTGATATGAAAAAAAAAGATTTTTCTTTTTACTTTTGATACTTCCATTTCATCGAGGTAATTTTGAATAAATTGAACAGTTGCATTAAAATCAGATTGATTAAATTCATATGGTATATTCCATCCAAGTGGACCAAATTTTCTTCTTTCTTGTACAATTGTATGTAAAAATGCAACTGTATATAATAATGGTCGCCATTTTTCTTGTGTATTTGTTTCTAATTGTTGTTCTTGTGTTAAACCAGCAAATGTTCGTTTTAAACCTGCTTTTATACCTTGTGGTGGTTCAGCTGTATATTTTATTGAAATTTGTAGTAGACCAATAGGAAATTTCGGATGCACTTCTGTTGTTATCCAAAGACGAAAATCAGGATGTATACGATCAGTATTTTCAGTTAATTGTAATAAAAATTCTTCACAAAATTCTAATGATAAATGACAATTTTGTAATAATACCCATGTACCATTTATATAAGCTTGTGCTAATAATCGTCGTGCATGAACTTCTTGTCCTTGTCCCATTGATATTGCATTACAGTCAATTAATTTCTTTTTTGCTAATGTTTCAATTTGTACCGATGGATCTGAACCCATAGATAGAAAACATATCATTGGTGAACATTTATCTGATTCATCCCACATTTTTTCCATATCAAGTACAACACCTTCACCATATTTTGTTCCTAATGAATCAATAATATAATCATTGGCTGATTTAACAAAACGTGCTGGTGTTATTGAACGAATTAATAGTAGACGACGAAATTTATCTAATTGTAAATCCCAACCATCAGGTAATTCGATACGTTCTGGTTCATCTTTCTAAAAAAAAAAGAAACGAAGGAAGGAAATTATTTAGGTTTAACAAATTTGAAGAAGAATCTAATAAATCATTTTAGAGCGAAATACTAACGTGAGGAGGGATAGTTTGTGAAACCTATTATGATTTAAACGTCACAACATAGAGAAAAAAAGATCTTATTTACATACCTTAAACCATGTTTCCCATGCTGAACCAGCGCGATGAAACTAAATAAGCCGAAAATAATAAATTAAAAAGAAAAAGAAAATGATTTACTGATTGAAGAATATCACTGAATTGAAAAAGTTTAGATAATTCAACGAGATTAAGCCAAGCATCATTTTGTAGCCATTTATAGGATGGTTTTTGTGGTACTAGAGAAGAATAAAAAACAAAGTCTAAAATATAATTTTATTGAATAGACATACCAGTATTTGTATCTAATGAAGCACCACCTTTGATTAATGTTTGAAATTCATCAAATTTTATTTTACCAGCTTGTAAATCAATTTTTAATGCTAATAAAAGTGTAAACATAAATTTATGTTCTTCATAATAACCTCGAACAGCATATTTAAACATTTCATATGTTAAAAATTCCATTATATTAGTTATACGTTTTGATGTAATTGGTGACTAAAATAATAAAACATTTTGTTAACAATTAAACAAAAAAAAAATAGTTAAATTACTCGTGGTGAACGTTCAAGTGCTTGATCAAATAATTGTAAAAATTGTTTTAATGATGTTTGATACATAACATTAACAAGAGACATTTCAACAATAAGAAAATATATAATTGAACCACGAGTAGCAACTGGACGATATTCTTCACGTGCAATATTTATTTTTAGACTTGTTTCTGTAGCTATTTGAAGTTTTTGTTTAACATCATTGGAGGTTATTTTAGTTGTTTTTAATGTTCGAATTAGATCATCATCATCAACTAATGAACCCTAATATACAGAAGACAATAATTAATATTAAAAAAAAGAAATTTTTTAATACTAACTTTTGAATTACTTAATCGTGATAATAAATTATCTTCAAGTTCTTTCATTCGTTTATTATTCTCTTGAATATCTTCTAACATTTTAACACGTTCAGCTTCTAATTCGACTTTTTCTTTCAAAATTGTTAAACCTAATAATTGATCTTCTAAACCTTTAATTGTAACAGTAAAATCAATAACGGATGTTTTAGCTGATATTTCAGGTGTAAATGCTGGATTTGCTAATTTTGTTGTTATATATAAATTAAAACCTTTTAATATATCGATTTCTCTATCACCAATTTTAACTTTTAATTGTGAACCAGTACGAATAAAATTTTTCTCTAAAATATTATCTAATGCTGGATCAAGTTCTTCACCAACATCTTCAATCAATAATGGACGACCAAGTGATAAACTATCTTCTAGATGTTGTCGAAAATGTTTGGAATAAAGATTTGTTGATTGTAAATCATTATATAATTCTTTATTTTTTATCCAAGCTTTGCCTTGTCCTTGTGGATCAATTAATAATGGATAACGTTTAGCACGTGTGACAATAATTGCATTTTGTATGGATAATTCATCATTGGGTAAACCTTGTAATTTCCATTCACCAATAATAGTTACATCAGTTAAATATTCTGTTACATTTAATGTTCGTGTAAATGGAATATTTCGTTCGGTTAATAATTTTTGCCAATCTTTTACTAATAACAAACGAAAATCTTGATTAAATGGACCTTGATATGAGAGAAAACCAGTACAAAGAAGTACATCACCAACCAAACTATTAAATAGAATAGAATAAATTAAAAGAAGAAATGTTAGTTCTTATTTACCGTCCTATTTGTGCACGAAATTGTTTACTTTGTTCAGTCCATCGTTCTTGTTCATCAGCTAGACCAGCTATTAATTCTTTTGCAGCATTCATTCGTTTTAATGTTCGATCAAGATCATCTTGTAAACGTTGTTTGATTTCCACTGCAACATCATATTCAGCTTGGGCTTCAGCTACTTCAGCTTCACGTCGATCAAGTTCTTCTTGTGCCATTTTTAATTGCATATTAGCTTTAACTAATCGAGCTTCTTGTCTAGCTAAATTAGCTTTTAATGGTAAAACACGTTTATTAACATAGAAAAAATCTGCCATAGCTCGTGTCCATGTTAATAAACCAGCAATGGCACCAGCGGCTACTTTAGCACCTTCAGGTGTATAATCAGGTACACGAAAATAAGGTTGAAGTAATTCGATTTGTTCATCATTTATGCGATCACGTGGAAATGTTTGAAGATTTTGAAGAAAACCTGTATCAGCCATCATCTACAAAAAAAACGATAATTTCTTTTCTTTTTTCAAAAGAATCATACTTTCAATGAACTTTCCCAACTTGGCTCAGCTCCTTGTAATTCTGGATCGAATCTAATTGGATTTTTTAAAGATCGTCCAAAAAGAATTAGAACACAATCCATCATTTGACGAATAAGACGTGGTGGACGACCAAGTTTACGTACAACAGCAATATCAAGAGGTGTTATGGTTTGTAAAGCTTCTTCAGCTGCCTGAAAATTAAAGAATTTTTATTTTTATTCAAAATACTATCCACGATAAGCTTACAATCAATGCTGGTTTTGCATTTTCTAATTCAGCATTTGCTTGCATTTTATCTCGATTAATTTCATCAACTAATGTTTGTGCAGTATCTTTTACTTTTTGTACTTGTTGTCGAACAATTTCAGCTGCACCTTTTCTTACAGCAACTTCTTTTAAAACTTCATCAGCTTTTTGATTTGCTACATCTAATTCTTGTTCTTTAATTGTTAATTCTTCTTTCATAACAATGACAGCTTTTTCAGCTTCAACTAAACGTGTAAGACCATCATTCATACGTTTAGCCATTGATTCAATTTCATTTAATTTTTGTGAATAAATTTCTTTATAACCATTTATAAATGAAAGATATGATTTTGGTGTTACATGTGTTGAACGACGATATTTTTGAAAATATTGTAAACAATATTCAGCTACACCATCATGTACGGAACCCATACATTGAACAAGTTCTTTTTTAATTGCATCCGTACAAACAATTTTAAATGATGAAAGAAAATGATCAGCAACAGCAACAAGTGCATCACGTGGCCAACGAAGAAACCAATCAATTGTACAATTTGCAACAAGACCAGGAAATTGTAGACCTAAATAAAATATTGAAATTTTTGAAGAATTTGATTTAAACTTTGTTTACCTCGTTTTCGGAATTTTTCTCCGACTGGTGAAAAGCATAAAACAACATGTAAATTTTGTCGAACACGAGATAGAAAATAATCATATAAATTTTCATTTGTTGCAGGTCGTCTTGGATATTGTTTTTTCATAATAGGTACTAATTCTTGACATATTTCATCTATTTCATCTCTAGCAAACATTCCCGGAACCTAAAAAAACAAGCATTTAATTATAATTCCGAAAATAAATCTTTTTTTTTTGAACTTACAACTCCAGATGAAAGTACATTATTGATATATTCAAGAAACGATTCATCTTTAACATCTTGATCAGAGAAAATAAATGTTATACCTTTTCCTTCTTTACCAGCAATACGATATAATGTTTTTAAATCATCTAATAAATTATTTATATTATAGGCACGTGTTAATGTTATTTGAAATGTTTTATAGCCAGCAATAAATGATGCTAATTTTGTTAATGATTGTTTACCACTACCACCAACACCAACTAATAGTGCATTACCACGTGGTGTTCGAATTATACGAGATATTTTAATAAGATGTTTCATAGCATCTTTAAAAAAGACTAAATCCATTCCGGAACCACGAATACTTTCATTATATTGTACTAAATGCATTTTTAAACGTTCTTCAAGATGTTCAAATGATGAAATAGGTTCATAAATTTTTGGAGCATCAAAATCAGCATCGTCTCGTTCATCACCTGTTGGTTCAGGAGCATCTCTAATGAAACAAAAAAGAAGCATATTTATCTATCAAATTCAAAATCTAAATTTTTCAAACCTTAAAAAGTCAGCAAACCAATCTTCTCGTTTTATCATTGATTGATATTTTGGACCTAATTCTTCATCAGAAACACGTTCAATTATTTTCGAAAACCAACGATAATCATCAACTTCAGTAAATCTATTATATAAATATTCGCAAAATTAATACAAAAAATAATTTCGATTGTTTACCTATCACAAATAACTCGTGTACATTCATGTTTCCATAATGCAATTAAAGTTTGTTCATTATTAATAATTTGTGGAAGTGTATAGATCATTCCTTGCCATATACGTGAAAGATCACGTAAATTAAAAACATAATGAAATTTTGCTGGTGTTGGTAACATTTTTAATTTAGTTAATTGCCATAAACGTCGCGTAGCTGGTATAAGTTTTTGCATTAATGAACGTACTTCATCATTAAATCCACGTTCTTTTATATAATGTCCCATTGCAATAACAGAAAATATTTTATCAATTGATGTATTCGATGGTAATGTACAATTAAATATACAAAATTGTCGTTTAAGACGTTGTGGAATATCATTTCGACCACCACCAGGATGGATCATTGCAGCTAGAAATTGTATATCAACAATTGTTGTAAATTCACCAGGTTTTTCTAATGAATAAAAACCATTTTGTTCCATTAATTGACGAACAATTTCATTTGTGACTTGATCACCCCATTCATTTATTGTTGGCATATTTACTAAACAAAACAAAATGTATATAAATATATATTACTACTATTCTTATGACATACTATCATCAATAAATATAGTCATCTTTTTTCCAGCTGGTGGACCATAAGTTGTTCCAACACGTTTATCAACATATGATTCAATAATTCTTTGTACCATATTTGATGTTGTAGCTGAAGAAAAGTTAACTTTCTTTTGTGAATGTTGTTCAGAATTATATCTTGTCATATATGATTGAATAATAACTGTTTTAGCTGTACCTTGTTCACCAATAAGAAGAACAGGCTATAAAAAAAGAGAAATTCAATGTAAAATTAAATCATATTTTTTTGTTACTTTATTTTGTTTAGCAATAGTATGAATAAGAAAATCTGTTCGAACATTATCAACATTCGGTACAAGAATTGATGCATATTCTGGATCATGATCTTTTGGATAAACATATTCCGTAACAACTGTATTCCAATGTTTCCATGTACCAGTTTTTTCATGAACAAAATAATCAAATATTGTATCTTCACTACCACTTGGTATAATAGGTGTATCCAAGAGAAAATTCGCATCTGTATTATCAAATATATAATCTTGTAAATGAGCACGATCATTTAATTCAAGAAATGCACCAACAGACCACATTATTGCAAATACATATAAACGTTCAATATGTTTCGCTGTTAATTGATCTTTAGCTTCTTTTGGTGGTAATAAACCATTTAATATTTTCCATGCCTAAAATTGATAAAAGAATATATATACAAGTAACGCTCGTCGGAGAACTCGCTTAGCTCTTTCTCGTAGAAATGCATCCTCTTCACATTCACTGAAAAAACAATTGAAAACTGTGAAAAATAAGTTTCCATTATTTTTTTTGATCTATGCACCCTCTATACCTTCCCCCTACATCATAATCACCCAACAGATCTCATATTCGAAATACCTCTAGAAATGTCTTTTCTGAAAAATTGACCTTCGATGTTTTTTTGACCCTGCGGACACACAATCAAGCAAACAATTTATGTTTACTGGACTCTTCTCTACGAGAAAGAGAATATGATAGAAAATGATTTTTACCTGTGTAACAATCATACATTCAAGTACAGGCATTTTTGATTTAAGATGAATAGAAAAATATCGATAAATAAATGGAAATGATGATTCAAATAAACGCATTAAAATTTCACCATCATTTGATGATCGTTCACGTTTAATCCAACCCTATTTCAAGAAACAAAATTATTCTTATTCTTATTTCAATAAAAAGAATATTTACTTGAATTAATGGTCGCCAATCTAAACCAGAACTACTCATATAAACCATACCATTTCGACTAACAGTAGCTGGTGATGCATTATCAATATTATGTACTTCAAATATAATTTTACAATTTGGTGCCATTGGTATTCGATCACCATTCGCTAATGTTAATGTTTTATTATCATCTAATACGGAATTTAAATTTTCAATCCAAATAGCATCAACAGGACCATCTAAAACTAACCAAACAAATTCTCCTTTTTTCGTACGTAATGTTCGTCGCCATAATGTTGAAAATATTCCATCAGTCCAATCATTTGTTGCTGAATCTAATCGACCAAACATTTGTGGTGCTGTTATTGCTTTTGGATTCATACGCATTTCACGATGTGGTTCACCACATACAGTCATTGCTTTCATCAGTGTATGTATACAAGTTGTTTTACCAACACCGGAGGGTCCTAATGTCATCATTCCATGACGAACACGTTGTGTTTCGTATAACTGAAGAAAAAAACAAATTTAATTTTTATTTTATATAAAAATAATAAAATAAATTACTTGAATTATTTTTAATACCCATGGTGCATGACAAATAAGTCCAGCAGATTCAGTTTCTTTACTAATTGCTGTTTCTAAATCTACGTAAACTTCTTTTTCTAATTTTATATTTGGAAAAAGATCATTAATAAGTGAAATAAACAAAGGTTCATCTTCATCAACCTATATGAAGAAAACGAAAATCTGAATAACTTTTTTTCTATAAATAAAATATCTTCATACTAATTTAGATAAATTCATATCTCGAAGTACTCGCATAACAATTGTCTTTTCTGAATCTTCTTTACTTGCACGTTTAACTGCACCAAGTGTTCGTAATACTGATAAAATATTTCGTAAACCAAAATCATAATGAACCTTGAAAAAATAATTTTATTTATTTATGAAAAGGAAAAGAATAAATTTCTTACTTGTTTACTAAGTTGTTCTTCACATAATTTATAAAGTGTATAGAATTTCTTCGATAATGGAACATTTTCTCTAAAACCACATGCAGCCATTTTAACACGTATAATTGGTAAACGATCAGGTACCATCATAGCAACAGAACGAAAATTAATTTTTAGATTTTCCGGTAATTCTTGTCGTCCAGCATAACCAGGATTCATAGTTAAAAATATACCAAAACCCATATTCATTTCAATAATATCACCATCAGTAAATGTAAATTGACGTTTCTTTTCTTTTTTACAAGCAAGAACAATGGCTATTTGTTGTGCAGCAACAGAAAGTACTGGTAAATCAATACGATTAAATTCATCAAAACAACCGAATGAACCTGATTGTGCAAGACCTTTAAATATACGACCTAAACCACGAAAATCCATTTGATCGGAACAATTAAATACCTATTGTATATATATATAGATTAATATTGTATTTGCAAAAATATAATCTACTTACAACAACATATTTTCCAAGACATCGTGCCATATCTTTTACAGTTTCAGTTTTACCTGTTCCAGCTGGACCTGCTGGTGCTCCACCCATACTCATATGTAAAGCTTGTGCTAATGTAATATAACATCGATCAGTTAATGGTGTTATAACTAAACGTTCATTACAACCAAGAAATTCATTCATATAATAAAAATCTACATCTGTAATTGATATTTGTACTTTATCAATTTCTTCATTAAAATAAAAACGTGTTTGTTTAAGCCAATCAAAATCCGTTACAGAACGAATATTTGTTTGATGAAGTTCATCAAATATATCTTTTTGATGTACATGTATTGTTATTAATGTTTCATATTTTGTACGTTCAACACGTGTTAAATCTCTTGTTGTTTGATCAATTAATACATCGAGAAGATCACTAAAATTTTTCGCTGTTAATTTCATAATATTTCTATCAGTTTTAGCATTACGTAATGCATATGTTGCATCACGTGTCCAAATTAATTGAAGACATAATAGACCGACTTGAGATGGATAACTATTAAGAAATTCAATGAGACTAAATGATGATAAATCAGCTAAAGCACTATAAGCTTGACGAATAACACCATGTAATGATTTTTGAGATTCTTTAAGAAGAGACATTAACCATAATTCAACATTTCCTTCTGCTTTAACAGGTTTTTCAAGCTAAATAAAATAAAATTAGTTTTTTTTTGAAACCATCACGTCTTTCTTTATATTTACGTCAACGGTTTCACCTTCGGATGATTCAATTGTTAATATTTTATCATATTCTTTTTCATGAAAACGTACTGTTTTAATATTATCAAAAACACTTAATAGATGTGCTTTTATTGTATGTGGATCACTAGCTTGACCTAAGATTTCTAATAATGCTGGATCCGAAACAAAGAAGAAACGTGGAAATAAAAGACGTTTGCGTTCTAAATAACCCGTTAAAGATTTTTGACATAATTCAAGTTGTTCAAGAAGATGTGGTAATAATTGTTTTAATGTTTCATCAGTTGAACAACATTGTACAACAGTTGATTGTTCATGTGCTTTATGCATTATTTTTAACCATGATTTATCAATGGATGAAAAACGTTTTGCTTCTTGTGGTAATTGTTTAGCAATATCACCACCAACAAAAACAGCTTCTAAATAAACCCATAAATTTTGTACACGCATCCAGTTCTCAATAATTTCATTTGTATCTGTTAAATCTTTAACCCATTTTTGTATTTGTTTTCGAAATGGAACATTATATCTATATAAAAGAATAAATCTTTTTGTTTGCGGCAAATAATTAGAATTACAAACCTATTTGACATTAATGAACCAAGTAACATAAGAGAATCTTCTAATAAACTAATAACTTCTTGAATACGATCACCTTTCAATAATAATTCTCCTCTTGATTTAAAATGAGCAAAACTAAATTCTTGCATTTTCCAATCGGATTCAACTTGTCGAAGTTTTGCTTCAATATCTCGTTCTTTCACAGCTGAAATACAAATATCTTCAATATCTTCTTTAAATTGAAGTAATGGTAAATCCATAATATTTCGTAATCGTAAATCTTCCGAGTCAATATCTAAATTTCGTACACCTGTTACCTCAGCTATACGTTGCCAATGTCGATGTTGCATTGCACGATTTGACATCATTTCCAATAATGGACAACCTACATATACATATTAATTTTAATATATATAAAGAAACAAAACTTACATTCACTGAAATCATCAATCGTTTTTTTCAATGCATGATATGCTGGAAATTCTCTTAAACCTTTTGGTAATTTTCTACAAGCTGTTTGAAAGTCTGATAATTCTTGATTAATTTTATCAATATTAACATCAGTCCATGCTATATCAAAATAACCTGCAACTGTATCTAATACTTTATTATATAGACTATAAAGACGTTGTAACAATGTTAAATCTTTTTTGATTTTGTCCAGTTGTGGATAATCAGTAACAGGTATTGCAAATAGTTGTTCACCACCGTGATAGGTTTCATATTTCTTATAGAGATTTTCTACACGACTTTGAAATAATATTTGTCGATCACTTGATTCACGTGGTGTTAAACCAGGTTTTGTTGGTCCACGTTGTTCATAATCTGAATAAAATTGTTTACATTCTTCATGAAATATTTTAACATTTTTTAATAATTCTGATCGATATTTTGGTTGAATATCAAGTAGATATGATGTCATAGTTGCCTAATAAAACGAATACAATTATTTATTATTTTTTTGATAAAAAGATATTCTTACACAACGATTTTGTAATCTTCCCCATCGATATCGAAGTGTTTCAGATCGTTCAATTTCTTCTCGAGCTACATTAACATTATGTGTTTGTAACATTGCATATGATTCTTCAATAGGTGCTATATTCATATCAATACGTATTTCATTTTCTCTTAAATCTTTAACAGCAATCATGACTAAACGAATATCTTCTAAATCTTTTATTTCACGAGATAAACGTTTTTCAATATCTTCAATGAATCGTAAGACTTCATTCATTTCTTTTCGATATTTCTGGTTACACGATTGTCCAAAAACAATAACCCATTCACGAATTTCTTGATTAAGTGCAAATTTTAAATGTTCTAAAAAAAAATCAATTAAAATAATATTTCATTCGATTATTTCATACCAGTAAATATTGCCAATGGGCCAACAGATAGAAATTCTAATTGAGAATTAATACTTGATGAAAGTTCTTCATAATATTTGATTTTATTTTCAAATTCTGATACATTCGGATCATTCGAAAGAAAAGATTTTAATTCTTCCTCATGATCTTTTTGCCATAATGGATTATATTTTATAAAAATTTCAAGTGCTGTTGAAATATCCTATAAAAACAAATAAACATATATTCAGAATAGAACTAAGAAAATATAATACTTTTTTTGTTGCATTGATACATGTAGCTAATTGAGAAGTTAATTTAGCAACATCTTTATTTTCAATTACATTTTTAAAGAAATTATTTGCTGCGATAAATTGTACTTTAGATTGTTGTGGATCAGTAATTGTATTTACTCGTGATCGAGAATCTATATTATCTGAGCTTATTAATATTTGAGGAATTGGTTCTTTTGGCGATGCATCGATATTATCATTACCGTCATTGTTATGTTCACCACGTTGTGTATCAAGTAACATTACTTGTTTATCATCACGTTTTTTCTAAAAAGAAAGAAATGGATAATTTCATATACAATTTAATCTATTTATTTACTTGTGGAGTATCTTTATTCCATTGTGATATATTTTTTGAAATGGAAATAATTGTTTGTGCAACTTTATTTAGATAAACTTGTACTTCATCTGCTGGAGGATGGATTGTCACATTTGGTATAGTTAATTCCGCGAAAACTTTAAATATTGGTGGTTCTCGACGATTTCGATCTGAATAGCAAAAAAATAATTTATTGACAATAAGAAATGATCTTTTTTTTGTCATACCATAATTAGTTGTTGAGATAATTCGTTTTTTTAATTTTTCTAAAGTTACTCGAATAACACGTATAATAGCATCGAGATTTCGATGACTAAAATGTGTTAGTAATTCTATAATAGCATTTGGTAAATTTTCAATTTGTAGTTCACGTTTACGATGTGATGATGCTCGTAATATATCTGAAGATTTTTTTCGTCCATTTTGTGATGATACTGTTGATGGTTGTCGTGTTTGATTTAATGGAACATGTCGAGTAGATTTTCGTGAAGCGCCATCAGTAGTACGTGTTGCTTCATCTAAGTAGAATTAAAATAGAAATATTGTTTTTTAAAATAAAATTCTAACTGTCTGATTCTTCATGATCTAAATCTATTCCAACATTTGAATATTGTATTTGTAAATCACCATCAGCATCTGTAATGACCATATCACCACATAAAAGATCGATAACTTCATATACAGCATCTTCAATATTTAGAGATTTTATTTGAATTTCTCTTGCTGCATGATTACATAATTCCTATTTAAGAAAAAACAAAATAATAAATTCTTCTCTTAGTTATAATTTACTTGTGTATGTTTTAAGAATTCTTCCGGTGTGATTGGTTCATCCTCAGGTACATCACATAGACCTATGGTACCTATTTCATCAAGTAATGCATTAATACGATATGTTATTAGATTATTCATTCGTTCTAATATTAAACTAAATTCATCTAATGCTGAATTGACCTAATAGAAAAAATGAATATTTAGAAAAAAATCTAATTGATAAAATTTAACGAACTGTATTAACAAAATCATCAATGGTTAATGATGTCCATGTTATTGATGTTAAACCAGGTTTCATCGTATCATTTAATCGATGAATTTTTGGTGCTAGAAGTGCTTCAAATGGTTGTTTAATATTTTCACGTAATTGTTTATTTTTTTCTACTAATTGTGTTAAATCTTGATAATGTTTTTTAAGAATTTCTTCTCGTTGTGCTAATAAAATAGCTTCCTTAGGTATTTCTAAACCTAAACGTGATAAACATTGAGTTTCACGTATTAATTCAAGAATATTTGGATCGAAATTAACGAAATAATCTGGATTTGTTTCTGATGTTGATGTTATTATTAATGATGCAGGTGTATTCACCGATGATCCAGGAGATGGAGTTTCTTCTTGATTAATTCGAACTAATATACTCGAATGAACACCTGTTGCTACAACATCAACTTGACGAAGCCATCCACGATGATATAAAAGTTCATAAGAAAGAAGAACTTTTGATAATTGATTATAATTCTTAATAATTTTTTTTGCTTCAGGATATTGAAGAATAGTTTGATTTTCAGAAAATACATTCATAGGTTCTTGAATACGTTTATATAATTGTCTAGACCAAATAATACGACCTTGAAAAGAAAAAAATTTAGAAGCAAAAATATAATTAAAAATTTATATACCAGAAACGGGTGGTAGATCTCTTGGAATAGGTGGTTCTTTGGAATTTTTTTGATAAATTTTTGCGACTAAATCAAGATCTTTGGAATATTGTTGTAAAATTTTAGCATATTTTTCATTTAAACCAATATTTGGTAATTGTAATTTTTCAAAACGTTTTAATGTTGTTAATGCACGTTGAATATTTTTTACGGAATTAAAATATTTATCAAGAAATTCATTAAGATTTTGATGTAGATCTGTAACTGCACGATGAAATTCATCTAAATCATTATCAACTTCTTGTTTACGTTGATCCAAAAAATCATATTCTTTTCGTTTTAATGTAACGACAATTGAATTAAATTTTGTATAATAGGATGATATACCTTCAATTTTTGATTCAGCTAATGTTGAATACATATTAATTGTTGAAAATATTTCAATAATTTTTTCACATCGTCTCATAAATGCATCAAATTTACCAAATATATACATTTCACTAAAATCAAATGGACGTTCAGATGGATTTGATGCTAATTTTATTTTTGTTAATTGAAAATAACGTTGATATTCTTCATTCAATTTAATACAATCACGTAATTTTGATATAACTTGTGCTTGAGGTTGAGACCAGACTGTTTGAGTATAATTATTAGTTATATAGAGTTTTGATGATGTAATCATTTGATTTGTTATCTATTAAAAACAAGAGAAATTTTCAATTCTATTGATCGAAATGTATTTAAGTAATAAAGAAAAAACTAGTATATATTTATAAAATTAAATCATGTATTCTTGTTTTTGGATAAAATGAAAGTGCTCAATGGTATGCCTGATTCAAGATCTGCATAGTGTATATGATTTCACAATTGAAACTTGTATAGCCGTTATTTATTCTTGTTTCATGAGGGTTGTAAAGATCTTAGGAAGTTTCAAGATGTTTAATATACAACTTTTTTTATATAGCTTGATGAATTTATCTAATAATCATAAAACGAGGGAACATGTTTTGCATGTTATGAAAATCTCAATTCAAATATTGTATAATCTTTCATTTTAAATTGTTTTTATATTTGAAATGTTTAGATTTCTAACAATTGTTGCTATGAAAATTGTTTTTGATGGACTTTCAACAAAAATCAAACAATTAAGAAAATAGACGTTCACATTGTGTTCTACTTCGTGCATGGTTTATTTCAACTCGTTTTTAATAAATTAAATGACAAAAATAATTTCCCTTTTATGTTTTAAGTCACGACTTGATGATTGCAAAAACACTTACTTTAACAAATAAAGATGTCATTCTTTCCGATGTATTATAATATCGTGAAATCGAATGAATCATTCGTACAGCATTAATTAAACCTGGAATACATTCGAGCATTGCAACTGGATCAGAATTATATAATGGTTCACAAAATTTTTCTAATGTATATAAATATCGTACATTATCTTTTGCTTCATTCGCTGCATCTGTAATTTTTATATCAAGTGCTTTCCATTGCTATTAGGTAAATAAATAAATAAATATTAAGAATTATTTTTTTTCTTAAAAATTTTACTTGAATAAGTTTGGATTTTGCTGTTTGTAAAATAGCTAATATGGTTCGAACATTTTGTGATTTAATTTGATCAAGTAGAAAATTAAATTTTGTCATGCGTCTTTTCCAATAATCTAATTCAGCACGTGGACCAATATTATCTGCTTCTCGACGAATTTGTTCACTTTCAGCTAAAACCTTTTTAGAAAAAAAAAGATATACATAATTTGTAAAGAATAAACTTTTTCTTACTTGTTCCATTTGTCGAATCCATATTTTCATTGTTTCTTCAATAAATCCTAAACTTTCACTATTTGATGCTATTGAAGTATAATCTGAGGCACTTTTTATTTCTGTTAGATCAACTTTTTCACACGGTTTTAATAAGATTTTCTCGTTGATACTTTCTTGTGCATTATTAAGTGTATCAATAAAATTATTCAATCGACTAATAAAATCCATTTTAATCATTTGATTTTTATCTGAACCCCAACTAGTTTCAGATGCTTGAAAAAATGGTAAATAAATATCGGATATTGATCGACTTAATGTTTGAAGTAACGGTTCTGTACTACATTCGAATGTATGAAAAAACACTTCCTAAGAAAAGTCAAGACGAAATAATTCAATAAACAAAAAAAAGAAGAAATTCTTTTAAATATACATTATTTATATTTTGTTCTGTAATGACAATATTTTTTGAATTACGTATGAAACAAAGACATATGCCTCGAAGACATTGTTCATTGAGATCAGCTATAAGTACTTTAGGTTTTGATGGTTTTGCAATAGTCGAACCCGAACGACTAGAATGTGAAGAAAGACGTGGGCGATAACCATCAGCTAGAAAAATTTTAATAATAATAAATAAAAATGAATTCATTGTAAATTACCTGCAATTGTATGATTATCGGACTCAGGTTCTTGATAGAAGAAAACAAGATATTGGATACCATCCTTGATGAAAAATTGATCCATAAGATTAAACTAAAAGATGAAATTTTATCTATATGATAAGGTAGGTAATTAAATTTAATATTTACATTGGAACTTTCAAGAACATTATCTTCAATTTCGGACCGATCGATATCGAGCCGTGTTGCAATAATGTCAAATAAATGTCGATTTCGTTCATCGAGATGTAATCGTTTTTGTTCACGTTCATCTCGAAGACGTTGCTAAGATAATAAAGAATAAATAAGCATTATCTTGCTTACAAAAAATTTATATTCAATAGCTCACCGCTTGTTCAACTACTGAGACGTTTTGTCTCGTGCGTGAAAACATCTTACTGATTGTATTCTGAGTTATTTCATCTCATATAAAAAAAGAAAAGTTTATGTTGTTATAGCAACTATCTTCGTCTACTTTGTTATATTAACCACTCTTATCGCATCACATAAATTAACATGAAGAATCTTTTGTGTATATGTGTGTATATATATGTTGTTAGGTGAAAAATGTATACGACTTGAGGAACATGAAATTTCTCATATATCAGTTATAAATAAAAGAATAAAAAATAATCAATATATAAATTTCAATGATGATAATAATGATATATTTCTGTTTGTATTTATATCTTGCGAGACAAATATCAAGCAAAAAAATAAAAATAAAAAGAATAATTCATTGAACCAACATAAATCATTCTTTCTTGAAAAATTAGAGTGTTACTTGACAGCTAAGAAAAATTTTGATTTATCGATCGCAATAGAAAGTATATGCTCATTTTTGTTTCCGTAATAGCGTGCTTAGTTATTTCCATATATCGGTAGTTTCTATTATGTTATTACGGAGTTATAATAAATGCTTTTTCTTCTGGATTCTTGAATCAAAAATTTTTTAGTCTTATTATTATTATCATTACTGTTATATTTAACAATTCCAAAGTCTTTCGACAATGATTTCATTAAAGTCGATTATAGCATAATTAATGTATGAAGTGAGTGATTTAGCTATAGGCCTCTCTTATGTACACAAGAATAATAATAAAAAAAAGGTTTCTCTCTCTCTCTCTTTCTTTCCTTCTTTTTCTTGACATATACAAAAGAAAAAGAGTAAGATTAAATTTCTTTTGTTTTCTTAGTAAATATTTCTTCTTGTTAGTTTAGTCATTTGTATTTGAATAGGTAATGTAATCACCTGCATATCATTAATATACTCTCGACTAATTGTATTGATGTACAGACGATTTTGAGGTTGTTGTAAAGGACGAATTTTTGATGATGCCATAGCAATATCACTGACAATACTGTATAATTACATTAATTATCATAAATGATCTTTAAAAACAAAAACAAACATTTGTCAAGAATATAAAAGTATTGACTTTCTTTTATAAAATATTTTTTCAATAAAAAGTGTTCTTTTTATTGAGCTTTAATCTGAAAATTGAGAAGGGCAATATATACTCTCTTAAGATAAGATAGTTTTCATTATCATCAGTTATGTCATTATTGTTTTAAATACTATGACAACAGTAATTAGTTAATGATGTTGATCATATTAGAATACTAATTAATTTTATTATTAGACTCATTTATAGATTATAAGGAAAAAGCTATTGAGAATTTATATTTAATTTTATAAATGAGTCTAATTAGTCAGTAGATGCCACTAATAATCATATAAATGCGAGCATAATATAAAAAAACATGTTGACAAAGCACTTCATTTTATTAGACATAGTATATGGTATTTTCTTTTTTTTTGTTTGATTCTTTCATTTTGTCTGCTATTATTTAATTTATTTCATCAAATGTATGTTTTATCTCACAATGCGAACGAAATATTTTCATCTCTCAGATATTTCATATGTATCTAAGTTCACTGTCTCTTATGAATTTTTACCCAATAACTATATAAGAATGATAGTGGACGAAACGAATGAATTGATTCAAGACATCAATGACATCAGCTTAAAATATACTGGTACAAACACCATCCATCATTGATTTTTATAGATGTAGTATTACATCGATAAACCTGACAAAGTGGCAATGAACGTTAATGAACGAAACTTGATAGGATCATTCGGTTAAACAAACCATCAGCTTAACAAAGAAAATGCTTTTTTAATACTACTGCGTACGGTTTCGGTCGAATAGCAACAAAGGTAGATTAACATTACCAATATCGCAATAGATAAAGAAGATTTCAGTGATGATCATGAACCCATTGATGATACGTGTTACTTCATGTCCACAACGAAAGTAAATCAATAAAATATAAAAATACCTATCTTATTTCGTACGCTCTATTGTAAGAATAATCTCAAATATAATCAAAACGACTTAACAATAATTCAAAGCAGTCAATTTATGAAGGAATTTAATCCCAATATACCAACTCATTTATCTATTTAAATAGACAATCAGAAAGCTATGGCACTGTATGATATACTACAGATTTGTCGAAACCAACTTGAAATTACTAGTAGAGAATATAAATGGTACGCCCTTACTGAAAATCATACATTTATCACAAACATATTAACTAAAAAGTTGATGTTGAATTAATGAAAAATATGATACTCTTCAATTTAGTTGTCTGTAAAGGACATTTTTATGAATTTCATTTATGATTTCTATGAAGACTTCAACTATATATTCAATACATAAAATAGAAGTCGAATATCGTTGTCCATGATTGATTTATAATCTCAATACGATTTTTTTGTAAAGACTAGAAAAGGTCGTTTTTATTCTAATTTTCATTTCTATAAATAGGCTGTGTTTGTATATTATATTTATAGTAATCTTATTATCAGTTGTATAAGAGTTGATTATGACAATGTATTTACTAATGATTCTTGAGCAGCTTTCGTGATTCCGCACTATCCATGCCACAAAAACTCCCGTAAAAATCGGTGATTTTATCGCGATATAGAAGCCGATTAATTGTGAGATCTATTGCGATAAAATCGTCAAAATTACCATTTCTTACTGACGATACAATCGTCGATTTTTTTAAAATCGCGATTAATCGTCCAGGCCTTGGCAATTTTGATAACATGGGATTTGATTACATTGACACTTAAAGTGTATAGATTGAGAAGTTCACACTATGTTGATTATTACATATTTAATTTATTTTGTACTATGAAGTTTCATTTATAAAATATTTATTTCAATTTACATATGTTACGAAAAAAACTATTTGTGTATTACATATGTTTCACGGGTATATTTTAACAACATCAATGAGTATACAACCAAATTGATTATTTCGTTATTTATGTTTGAGATGGAAAAATAAATTTTGTAGTATTAAATGCCGTTGTTGTTACTGGAGTAGGAGTATCATCGACAACTAACAATTTTCTTTCTTGTAAATGATTATGATTTGGTTGATAATAGGATAATTTACCTGTTGTTGATATTGTACCACCACAACCATCTCTATTAACACTCATTGATATTGGACGTTTAGCATAACTTTTATAAAATAACACATCAGTTGCATGTTGATTTTTTGAACATGTACGATATTGATGACAAAGACGAACAAAACTTTGTCGGAATTTTGTTGACATTATGGAATACAACAATGGATTAATCTATTTATAAGAAAAAAAAAATGAACTGTATATTTATAGAACATTTATTAAATATTGAATATAGGATCAAATATCACTTCATTCCGTAATTATTTCCTTTCTTTTTGCTCTTGTGTTCAAAAGAAGTATGAATAGAATATTCAATTTGTTTAATCAGATATCTTTCTATACCCATAGACGAGTTTCGATGTTTTCAAATCATTTAATCTAGATTCTCTTGAAAATGATATGATGGAAACATTCATGTCTATTAGAAACAGAAGAAAGCTCTGTATTTGATAATTTGATATATAAAAAAAAGAGTTTTAACTATAAAAGAGTAAGTTACTCATCTTCAGTTCATTCAAGTACTTTTTTATATTTAGGCAAACATCTCAAGATTCTAACAATAAAGATATAATTTTTTTAGTTAATATTAATGTATTTTTGTCATATAACTTACTGCTGAATTTAAATAAAGTAGAGAACGTATGATAATAATCATTAACGAATGACGTTGAAATCCAAATCGATGAAATTGTTCAAAACTTAATTGTGGCTGTATAATAGCCCAGATTTTATATGGTAAAATTAGAACAAAAAATGAAATTATTAACACAATAAGTAATTGTGATACTTGTCGTCGATAACGTGTTACAATTGTATTGTCTTGTAAAAGAGCTTCTCGATTAAATAATACATAACATATAGAATAATGCCAATAACAAAGCATAATTAAAATAATTAAATAAATAACTACTGTACATGGTATAAGATACCAAATAGACCATGGTAATGGGAAACCAGTTAAACCTATTAAAATTAAATAAAAAAAAATAAATAGAAACAAAGTAAATTTTCTTTTACATGAAACGATAGTTTCGTTATAAGTTGATTGTACTAAATATGTATTTGTAAATATATAAAAAGGTGTTGACATTAAACAAGAAATAGCCCAAAAAATAATAACTGTTGGTAATGTTCGAAATATCGATAGATGAAGCGAATTTGTCTATATTAATAGAAGATTTTTTTCCGGAAATAGTTTGAAAAAATTAACTTACTTTAAATGGTTGACAAATAGCTATATATCTTTCATAACTTATTGCCATAATTGTTAAAACAGAACAAGTAGCTGTAACATTTTGTACAAATGGACTAAATCTACCTGAATAAAAATAAAAGTTTTTTTTGTTTGTGTAATATAATTTTTACTATTTACATACACATAAATTTGCCTAAACGATGTTTATCTTTTCCATACAAATGTTGGTAACCATCAGGTGTACAAAATAATAAGAAGAAAAGATCAGCAACTGATAAATTTGTCAACAGAAAATTAGTAGCATTACGCATATCTTGATATTTCATTACAATAATAATGACCAAGATATTACCAGTAACACCTATTAGAAGTATAATACTATAAAAAATACAAGCGGCTAGTTGTAAACCAGGAAACCATTCAACTGGTTGTGCTGTTGTTATATTACTATCATTGCTAATAGCCATCTTGTCTATGAATACTTGATTCTGTCGTTTGTAACACGTTGTCAAAAACAAATGTTCTGTATATATTTTCTTCTGAAAGAACACATAGAAAAAAATCTGCAAAAAATTTGTATGTCTAGAATAGACTAAGTCTACGATTTTATTCGTTTTATAATTATCTACATTCATCATGAACATTATCGAATGGTCACTATCATTTTAGATAATTCCTTCAACTTTCTTTTACATTGCGTGACTTTATCTATATAAGAATTCTATCTATCTAATCGGTATATAATTAATTTTTTTTCTTTATCCAAGATCGTTTTCTTTCCGTCAACAAAAGCATCGATCTCAATTGAAATCGAATCACAAAAGAGAAACTAAGACTTACCAAAAGAAATAAAAAGAAAAGACGTTGAATAGATAATTAAAAAATATAATGTTGATATCATTCTTTTCATTATGATATATATATTTAATCAAATACCGATACTAAAATATTCTCGATTTTTGATTTTAATAAAATGATCAAATCTAAGTACAACGCAATTATTTATGAATTGTTTTTTTCTTCTATTAAATATAATTTCTTAAAGTTTTTCTACTATATTAAATATCATCCGAACAAGCTGTTACCCATCTTCTTTCCGCTTACAAAAAAATCTCAAGGACTTATTCAGTACTGTAAATAATTTTTCTTTTCTTTCTTGTAGACGACGTCATTTTTTGATTTCTGTTGCAGTGTCATTCATTCATAGTACTCAACAGAAAAAATTAAGAGTTTTGATAGTAGATTGAGCGTAAACTAGAAGTTGTTTAAATAGTAATTGTAATAAGTTCGGTCAAGTGAGCGACAGAGAGAGAGAGAAAAAAAACTGCGTAAAAATAATAAAACATATTAATCATTCTTTATTGTAAAAGAAGTGATCCTCGACTTCCGCTCATTTAAGATTATTTTGACAACGATGATGATTTCAAACAGATTCGAATATATACTAATGTGCTAGTATGGACGAAGTTATCTAGTAATAGAAAGAAGAAATATCTAAATGTATTATTGATTGACAAACTTAATCATCAAGTGTAAATGATGTCGAATAGACAACAACAACAACAGCAGCAGACATATACTTAGAATAAGCACCAACTATCAAGATAGGAAGAATAAGCTGGTGAGAATCTATCAGAAATGTCATTCATACAATTTATTCTTGTCATATATAATTACTATGTGAAATGCGTGCTCGAAAAACTGACAGTGAGCTTTTGTATTTTAATGAATGTGAAATCATCGAGAAACTTAGTAATTCTTCACACAAAATAGAGATTCGATTATTCTTTTATGTCAGAACAAGCGAAGACTTCAACAAAAAGAAAGTCTTCTATTCTATTTTATTTTTGTAATATAGAGAAATCTGAGAATTATCAAGGTAGTCAAAGATAAGATTGGAAGTGTCTTTTTTAATTAACTAAGGGATATTTTTAAAATAATGTAATAAATAATAAGTATTCAATAATGAAAAATTATGACATCGTAATTAATAACAGTATAAACATCTTAATGAATACCATTACAAAACATAATAAACAATACTATACTACCAATATCATATTTAATCAAAACATCTTAGCAAAAAAATCTTCACAATATGACAAACTTAGTTTAAGTAGTAAAATATAGGTATATAGAGATTCATAATGACGTATTTCGATATATTCATCTATTATTAATTATAGTGTTGGTAATAATATCGCTCGTAACATGAACTTTTAGGATTAAATATTTTTCATTTATTACAATATTACACGTTCTGGTTCAATGGAATGACGAATTTTCAAGTATTGTTTCCTTAAACTATTTTTACTTAACTTAGGAACAATGAAAGCACTCTAATTGTATACTCAATAATCTGACATCGCTTTTAATCACTAAGAAAAGAAGGATGTAGGAGTATGGTCCTTAAACACAAAATTACTTTGGATAACATGAAAAATAGATAGTGTCATTTGGTATATTCTCCCACGTTACTAAAATATTTCTTTTTTCCTAAATATGCTATATACAAGATAATACAATTATCGAAATGGCATGAATTTACTAGAAAGTACTATTAATGAAACTTAAAAGCCTTTTTTCTACGATATTATATGGAGAGTATCCATATTATGCTTCAATACATAAATAATGTTTTTTTCTTTTTATAAAATTTATGAAATGTCAATTTATTACACTCTTTCATCATGTTTTAAATCAAATTAATAACGCACCGATTACTACATTGATGATAATAAGTTTTTTGCAATCAAAATGATAAACATACATTTTCCATTATTCTCATCTGAATAATTTATTCATATATTTTATTTATCATCTATTCTTCTATATCCCAATAGTATATTATGTTGTCATTGTTGATTAACAAATATGGCGATGAAATGCATAGTAATAGTTGAGAATTATATATTTTTGTTAAGTTATGCATGAGTATGTTAACAGCTAATTGTACTCTGTAAAACTTCAATTCTAAAATAATAATAAATAAATAAATTGGCGGATAGTGGAGTGTCGTCTCTTCATCATCTTCTTAACAACTACTCGAGTAATGTTATAAAAAAGAATATTGTATGCCTGATTGATAGACCGACGGCGGATGAAAGTGGGTGTAGGATGTGGGTGTCCCTTGTTGATCAAAAGAGAACATCCACATATATCTTCTCTCGTTTGGTACTTTTTCTTTTTCTATGGAATTTCCAATAAATCTATTTATTGAAAATTCTCGACTTTCACTAGTTGACTGCTCGTAGAACCAACTTTCCTTGGAAAGAGGTAATGCAAGAAAAATCGTTTTTACATTCTTCTTCTATTTGTGTGCAATAATAATTGTGTTTTTCGAACATCTGCACTTATAGATAATAGAATCTAGTATTCAAATTTAATTGAGTTATTTTCGTCATATTTATATTGAATATAGGATCAAATAAGCATATGAAAAATAATATATGAAATAAATGGAAAATCAAAAACTATGTATTGTATCGACTATATTTATAATTTGTTACTGATAGAATTATTTTTTACAACAAATAAATGAATTTTTATATCTATTTTTCTAATACTAAACAATGATAACAACTACTAAGAGCAAGTAAATGTTCATGTGTTCCTCTTTTCACAATAGGACTATTATGTACTACATAAATCATATTTGCATTTTGTATTGTTAATAAACGCTATGCACTTGTAATTGATGAAATAATGTATATTCTCTGATCAATATTTCTTAAAGGTCGAAAAAGAAATTAAAATATCTTTTTCTATTTTCTCAATAATAATTTGTTTATGAATATAATTTTTATTCTCACGAGATGTTATTTATGTTTATCTTAAATTTAAAGAGCTAAATTTTATTAGATGAATTGATGTTACAACTGTTAATAGGATTTGCAACAGGAGTGCCGTGTGCAAGACTGCGACAACGGCATATTAGTTCATTTCATATGAACTTTTCACTAGTTCTTTTCTAGATAAAACTACTAGTACTAATCACCACAATTAAGTAATATTTTGTTTTAAATTCGAGATGATATATTCAAAGCTGTTGTGAAAAATAGTTAAACAAAAAATCTATTTTTGATAGATAATGTCGTTGAGTTGTGTTTTTGGAATGGCACTTTCAAAAGATTTTCCTTTTCTTCTAATAAGTTTATTTAAAGCGAACGCGGGGATGATTTTTCTAAATTTCATTAAACATCGAAATTAGCATGAATTATCAAACTAAATCTAATGTGAATTTTTTTGTTATTTATATAACAAGAACACTAATAGAATCACATTTATTAATTACTATTTAAATATTGCTTTTATATTCGTTTTATCAAGTTCTAACCTCTTAATTCAATCTATTCGTTGATCTTTATTTTTATCACCTTTTTTAATGACTTTATCTGCATCTTATTTTATTAATGATCATCTGTATTCAAAATCACTTTATTAGTTAATGGTTAATGCCAATCTTGAGTTGTTTATCTGGTATATTTAGATAGTGAAAATATGATTATGATTAATGATAAAATAAGATAGATGTGTATTTGCTTGACTAAATAGAAATTAATATATAGATACACTTAGCACATATAGGTCAATAGCAATTACAACATATATTTATCCCATGTATAAAAAAATGAACAAAGTTCATTTATAGGTACTAGTTTCTGTCAAAAAACAACTATTGAAAGTACTTAATAGTCATTTTTATGGATCAAATTTTCTACATGGGTATTGATCTTTTAATTCTAATTTAAATAAAATCAGTATTTTGTACTGTATTATTATTCAATTTACATGAAAAAAATTTACTTTCATCGATTTTTTTTTCTTTGTAGTAAATTTAACTAAATCATATTTAACAATAATTACCGACCCACATAGAATACTTCGTTACTTATTTTTCAGTTAGTAGCTTTGTATTAGATTAACTTCAATTTATTACTAAAATATGAAAAAAAATAGAAGTGCATAAAATACATGTTCAAGAAAAGTCATCACAATGAAAATCAAAAGTTTCACGTCTCTTTTATATATTTTAATGAACAAAATAATGACATGGAAATCTTCATTGCTAGCGAAATGAAGAGTTTATATTTTCTTTATATTTGCTTTTACATAGGCAAAATAGTCTCAAGAGTTATATTCTATTTCCAAGCAGAAATCGATGAACTCTATCGGAGGGTATGCTCAGCTTCTCACTGCCATTATCAATCTTACTTTGATATATAGAAAAGTTGACCATAACATTAGACAGAACTGGTCGAGTTCGTCTTTGAAACAAGTTACAAAGTAGATAGAGGCAAGACTTACTCCAGTTAGAGGCTAACCTCACCTACGTTTTATTGATAAGTCAAAGAGTTTTAGATCTATAAGATATTAACAATGCAAAATGAGATGAAGATTTTTAATCAAATATACATTAAACTTAGATGTTAAGTGTGAATGAGATATGTTTTAGTCTATTTTTGATGTTTCTGTTCATATAATATTTACATTGTAAATTCAAACATCAAAATGAGAACGATGAGAATGCATTTACGTACACAATTTTAGTATCTCATTTGAATTCACAGTAGCAAGTCCTTCACTTCACTGATGTTTTCCTAATCACATCATATTCATGTTCATCCAAAATTAAAGTTGAAATGTCAGAAGCGATCCATTTGTTCTTCTCTTCTTCATACTTCATAAGAAGAACATGCAAAAGGTGCACACGATTCATACGGAAGAATAAGATTCAGTTAATATCTTACTCGAAAATATATAAACAATTTCGAAAAAGTAAAATTTAAATCAGCAAAACTTCAGATAAAATATTTAACTATCCATTTTCCTCCCCTCGGTTACACTAGTGATGTATGTATGACTGTGCAAAAAGGTGGAATATAATGCCCACATCTACATCTATATTCACACTCATCAAGATTTTTGTTGTTATCTTTTGCAAGCAGAGAAGAAACTCTATGAAGACAAATAATATCATCGTCAATAAAAAAAAAATACTTCTTACCAACGTGGATGAATAACCTTGTTTATCATTCTTTTACAAACTAAGATAAAAGAATTTATTTACCTTCATATATGAAAGGTGAATTATGCATATATTTTTATTCATTCCAAAGAGAGAAACTATTACCAACATACACGTCCAAAAAGACAGAATAGCAAGTGATTTATATATAACCAAAGTCAGTAAGTATTACTCAACCTATCTTCTTTTACAGCGTTTTTATTTCTTTTCGAGATCAATATGTGTGAAGTAGAGTTTAAACGAATTTTTCTTGTACAAAATGTTGCTCATTTTAATCACAAAAGTTCTCATAAGCTTAAAGTTTAACTTGAATCTCAGGGGAATATTATGAGTTTTTAATGGTTGTAGATGCTACAAAAATGTTCGTTTTTGCAACTTGTTTTATTCTTTTGGGAGTTTGAAAAAGAGAAAACATCAAGTCTAGATTGTGCGTATGGGTATGGGTGATCGGCTCAAGACACAAACACGCGCTCACATTTACACTCATACTTAATCACACTCACACCCACACCTGAGATCAATGGAAAATTAAGAATTAATATTTGAATATTATATTTTTGGCTTTGATGAAAGATAATATCAACAAACGACGTGCAAAATACGATGAACAATTCTCCTAAGCATAGGATGGGTGCGAGTGTGGGTGTGGATGTTAGTGAGAGCGTGGGTATGGGATGAATATAATACTCATATTCACACCCTCAAATAGGTGAAATCAAACTGAGGCTTTTAGAACAAGCGCACGAGAACACTTTTGTAGTGCTTCATGCAATTCACTTTTTCATTCGTATTTGCTTTAAGATAGCAGTAATCTAAAATGTGTGCACCAGCAGCGCTTATGAGTTCTGAGCCACGAAAGATTGCCCTTCTGGTAGGAAACAACAACTACAACAAATCTCACCTCGCAAACTGTGTTAATGATGCTACCGATTTAAGCATTGAGCTGAAAAAAGTTGGATTTTCAGTGACAACACAAACGAACGTCAATTATGAAGACATGGATAGAGGAATTGAAAATTTTGCCGATGATATTAGGCCCGGTGATTTCGTTCTTTTTTTCTTTGCTGGACATGGTGTACAATGGGAAGAACAGAACTATCTAGTGCCGTGCGATGATGATCGTATTAGAAACTCGACTGATTTGAGATATCGAGCTGTGAATGCGCAGCGAGCTCTGGAGCTGATGTCTGATAAGGATCCTTTCGTTATTGTATATCTTCTGGATTGTTGTCGCACATACTGGTTACCAAGTTTGGCTAGAAGCAGAGCTATGGAAATTTCATCAAGAGGAATGGCTCCCATGAGCGCAACAGGTGGTTCTTTGATTGCTTTCGCCTGTGCACCTGGAACAACGGCTGTGGATGTGTCATCGAATGGACGTAATGGACTTTTCACTTATCATCTTTTACAGCACATTACAAAACCAGGCGAAAATATAACAATGTTAATGATAGACGTAACACAAGCAGTGGCAACTGAAACAAACAACAAACAAATACCTTATACTACAAGCTCATTGCGGAGACGAGATGTATATTTAGTAGCACCTACGACGCAGAATCCACACCCAAACTTACTAGTACCGAAAGTGGCACAATTCTCATTTAATTCAAAAATGAATAGTGAGTAACACTATATGGAAGGTGGGTGTGGGTGTCGTTTGAGAAGTAGCGTCCACACCCATACCCTCAAGATGGTTTCTATTATTGTCAAATAAAATCATTATATTTTGTTTTTATTAAGATTCTTATCAATTAAATCACTCTACAATTAGTACAGCGACTATACCAGAGAATCAAATATCAACTCAATCTTCAATAAAACCACGTATGTTTCATAATAAAAAATAGTTTTATTATCTTTAAAACTGAGATAGAACTTTTGCATAAATTATTTTTATTAATTAAGTAACAATTTAAATGCAATTTTTGAATAGTATTATGCTTTTGATAAGAAATCACAATTTCTCTTGGAACAATATTCCTAAAATTATTTAGGATTTGCTTCTTTTCTATTTTTATATTACTTAATATAACACTGAAAAGAGATTTCATCTATCGTTTTCGAATTATTTTTCACAGTGAAATATTGAGAATATTGTAAAAATAAATGTTCAAAATAAAAATTATTTTGAAAAGTAACAAAGCTTATTTTCATTTTAAATATTTTTTACAAATTAGTTTATATGGATAAGAATTAAATTTAAGATCGAAAGTTTTCTTTTCTAATTAAAATAAGCATTTATAGAATTGCTAATCAAATTAATCAGTTCGAATAGGTTTTTAAAAAAGAAAATAATGTTCTATTAAGAATTGAATAGATTTATTCTAAATTAAAATTAATTTCATTGACTTTGTTTTTCATCATAAAAAAAATTTCATTGTATTCTGATTAACTAATTCATTCATTATTGAAAAATAAAATAAAATTTATTTTACAAATAATAACATTATTTCATCTATAGAATTTATTCAAAATATTTCTCTATGTTAATAAGAATAAAAATTCTATTAAATAAATAATTCTAAAAATCATTTATTCTATTAACTATTTTTTATAATATCATTACTTTATTTGTTTTTTAAAAGATTTGTTCTAATAGAAAATTGAAATCTAAACAAATTTCTGGAAAAAAATAGAATTTTTATTTTTTTTCATTTGAAAAATCTATTTTAGTATTTTAATAAAAAAGGATTATGTTGTTTTTAAGTTGTTGAATCAATTTAAGTTAAGTTTAACTTTTTAGTTTACGAGGGAACCACCCGAGGTGGTACATCCAGTTTTCATTCATTCATATCTCATTTAGTTAGGTACATTGAGATAGTAAAAACCCTAGAGGTGATTTTCCCCAATCGCATTCTTTCAGTAGTTAGTCCCATTTTACTGGATTTTCGACCCATTATTAGGTATATACCTCAAAAAATAAACTTCGGAGTTTTGAGCTGAAATTTTGTCTATATGTAGGCCCAATAGTAATTAGAACATCCTGAAAGTTTCAGCCGAAAAGAATGTTCCGTTCTTGAGATATTCAATTTTCAAAAAATAGTCGCTTGCTATATATAGGTCATGAACATGGAGTTCACTTGAAAATTGAATATCTCAAGAACGGAACATTCTTTTTGGCTGAAACTTTCAGGATGTTCTAATTACTATTGGGCCTACATATAGACAAAATTTCAGCTCAAAACTCCGAAGTTTATTTTTTGAGGTATATACCTAATAATGGGTCGAAAATCCAGTAAAATGGGACTAACTACTGAAAGAATGCGATTGGGGAAAATCCCCTCTAGGGTTTTTACTATCTCAATGTACCTAACTAAATGAGATATGAATGAATGAAAACTGGATGTACCACCTCGGGTGCTTCCCTCGTTAGAATTTTCAAATAAAATAATTATTTACTTTATTGATAAAAAAAAGAAGTTTTTGATCGATTTTCTTTAAATCATTGAAATAAAAATGATTTTCATTTAAAAAAATATTTTTCTGAATTAAACTTTTATTTTATTAAAATAAATTCAAATACAAGTTTTTCTTCTTATTTTCGTCCTTTTTTGATTTAAAAATAATCAAAAACATCTAAACAAAAAGAAAATCTTTTATTTTAGAACAAATTCAAATAAAAAAGAATAAATTTCAACAATTTGCAATTACTGTTGCTGGAGGAAATGGAGAAGGGCAGGAATTAAATCAACTCCACAGGCCTTGGGGAATGTTTATTGATAATGATAAATCGATTTATATTGCTGATCCTTTCAATCATCGTATTATTAAATGGAAGTTGAATTCAAATACTGGTCAAGTCGTTGCAGGTGGAAATGGACAAGGAAATCAAAATAATCAATTGAATGAGCCAAGAGGTGTAATTTTTGATAAAAAGAACAATTCTTTTATTATTTCTGATAAAGGGAACAAACGAGTAATTCGATATTTTGACCAAAATCAAACAAATCAACAAATTATTATTTCAAATATTGATTGTTGGGGTCTCGCAATCGATAAAAATGGATTTATTTATGTTTCTGATTTGGAGAATCATGAAGTAAGACGATGGAAACAAGGAGATAAACAAGGTGAATTAGTTGCAGGTGGAAATGGTCATGGAAATCATCTTAATCAACTCTATTGTCCTATTTATATCTTTATTGATGAAGATTGTTCTCTTTATATATCAGATACTAGGAATCATCGTGTAATGAAGTGGGAAAAAGATGCAAAAGAAGGAATTATCGTTGCTGGTGGAAATGGCAAAGGAAATAGTCTCAACCAATTGTCTTCTCCTCAAGGAGTGATTGTTGATTATTTGGGTCAAATCTATGCGGCAGATTTTATGAATCATCGAATAATGCGTTGGTGTGAAGGAGATAAAGAGGGTGAAATTGTTGTTGGTGGAAATGGTCACGGAATTCAATCAAATCAATTGAGTTTTCCCGTAGCTTTATCATTTGATAATGAAGAAAATCTTTATGTTGCTGATTATGGAAATCATCGAGTCCAAAAATATGAAAAACTTTGAAATTAAAAATCTTTTCAATTTAATTTGATAAAATTTCGATTTTTATTTTTTAAAATAAATGAAAATGAATTAAAAAATTTCTCTGAATAAAATAATTCATATACGAATGTTGGTTAATAAATCAAATTAAAAGAATTTCAAAGAAAATTTAATTAGGAAAAAAATTATTTTCAAATTGAGAAAAACATTTAAATTAATAAAAAAGATTTCGAAATAGAAATTTTATTAGATTTATTTTTGTGATTTTATGATTTATTGAGAGAAAGAAAAGAGAGAAGAAAAAAGATAAATAAATAAGAATGAAGTCTGTTAAAATTGAAAAGTTAGATTAAGAAAATCTGTTTTTTAGAAGAAAAAATTGTTAAATGAAAACAAAATTCTAAAAATTATTTTTACATTTAAATATTAAAAATAATATAAAACAAACAATTAAAATAAAAAGATGGTGAAGAAAAATTGAATGATTTTTCTATTATATTAATAAATGAAAGAAAATAATCAAACTAGATAACTAAATATTTAATTGAAATTCAATATTTAACAATAGAAAATAAATCAAATGATTTTATAAAAATATCATATTTCACTGTTACGACTAATTTTTTTATCTTACTGTTACAAGTAACAGTAATTTCGAGTCAAATTCGTTAACATCATCCGTTTCGTGTTAAACAAGCAAACAAATACATATTACATTAATTAATTATTTTATTTTATTGACTGAACTTCTTTTCTTTGCTCGATAGTTGTCAACTCATTCAAAAACAACACATATTTATCATAGTATTTTGAAGATGAACAAACTATGAATATAAAAATAAATATGAATCAATTCATTGACATATTTCGATTATTGTTTCTATTAGTAAAACTTTCGAACTTAGTAATTCAGTTTATGAACCAAAAAAAAATGATTCAGAAAGGAAGAAGGTATTAATGTTGAATTTATTGAATATTAAAATTGTTCTATTTGATCCTCTAACTTTTAATGACAAATTACTAACATGTCATTTTCACTGTGAGTTCCTCAATAGTATCGAGAGAAATGTTATGTTTATTCATATGAATTATTATTCAAATACAAAGTGAATTTTATTCAATGTCGTGAAAAAAAATATAGATCATTGGATGGATACGTTGGTATAACAAATAAATATATTGAAGAATGTTATATAACTTATGAGGAAATAACCAGATAGAAACTAAATAAACCATGAAATATAATTCATAAAAACAAGGAATAAATAGTCAAAAAATCGTCATCTTTTTTGATTGGTTTTCAGACGAAGAGTGTAAGTGTAGTTATTCTCTTCATCTTCCACACACTCTGTCTTAATAATAAATATGAGTATTATGGCTCTCTGTAATCAGACCAATTTCGTGTGTGATGGCATTGAAAATAGTAGTTGAAGTAGTTTTAGAATAAAATTAGTTCTATACCGAATAATCCAGATGTACTAATTGTCTTTCGAATTAAATATACAAACAAGACAATGATACCTTCTATCAAAAATAATAACAAGAACAGTACATTAATGATTCTAAAGATTCGTAATCAAAACGACTCTTTATTATCATTCCTTAGAGAGATCTTCTTTATATACTTTGGATACATTTAAGTTGTGCAATCGCAACGAGGCAGTGCCAATCCGAAAATAAGTTACATACATCTTTTTCAACCAAATAATCTATCAGATCAATGAGTATCAGATACTGGTTAATTCTTATTTTTTTAATAAATGAGAAGATTTCGTAGAATAAACCGAATAGCTTCATTAACGCTACCCTAGTTGAATTCTTTCGATCGAAATAAATTAGTAAAGAAAATGAGATATCTATTTAGCTCCTCTCATATACATCTGTTTTATGGAGATTGTCAACAATCCTATCATAGAATTTCTAATAGAACAGTGATAGTTTAATATTATTTTCGATGTTCACAATTTATATCTATGCCATGAGCTTTTACAAACACTTACTCTGTCTGAACAAACGTATGTATATGATAAAACTTTTGGTCAGTTCGAAGAAGTTTTCCTTCTCGATGTGTCACGTATTTCTAGTGATTTGCAAACTCATTATATATCAATATTATACTTTTGGAGCAAAGGTGTATGATCTGCTTCTGGGCGTGGGTGTAATCTTTTAAATCAACCGACACTCATTCACATCTACATTTGCAAGAGAGCCTACCTAAGCCTAAAGAAAATAGAGACATGATGAAGACTTTTTCTATCGATTTCATTTTTTTTTACGTTCCTTAATGACAAATGCACTTTTTTCCAAGCTTATCTTTATTACCTACATAATGGTTACATACAGGCTTTCACTCGAAACAATACAGCAATAAGAATGATATCACCTATTTTGAAGGTCTCTTAAATTCTATGTCTCCGAATTCACTATCAAAAAACATATGATCAACTTGTGTAATTGCTCATATATTTGTCAATATAAATACTTTTTCTCTACGTCTGATTCTTCAATAACAAACATGACTCAATACGTTTTTTCTTCGTCAACGTAAATAAAATACTTATTTTTCGCAAGTTACTTCGATGGTTAGTCAACCGTGACCATATTTCATCATTTGTTTTTTCGTTCTCCATGTGTTGTCTTTCATAACGACATTATACATAGTTAAAGAAAGAACATTTCGAAAGGAAGTAGACAACTATCAAACGGACTGGTTTCGATCATTGCTTTACTGGTAACTTTTACACAGTAACTTCAATTCAAACCATTCACACAGCAAACAATGAATAATGGAAAATCAACGACAAATGCATCTACAGTTCCTGAAAGTGCAGAAGGTCGTCGACGTATCAATATCCAACAGATGCAAAATGTTCTTCTTATCTGGTTAGATAGTAACATTGACGAAACAAATCATGATTGTCAAAATACTATCACAAAACTACGACGTGCTGTGAACGACATCAATACATATACAAATGGTAATCAATGCCTTGAATTTATTCAAACAATTGTCGACAAGAAGATATGCATGATTATATCTGGATCACTTGGACAACATATTGTGCCTCGTGTGCACAATACGTCCCAAGTTGATTCTATATTTATCTTTTGTGGTAATAAAAAATATCATGAACAATGGACCAAGGATTGGCCCAAAATAAAGGGTGTGTTCACAAATATTACACCCATTTGTGAAGCACTCAAAGAAGCTGCTCATCAATGTGAGCAGAATGCCATTCCGATGAGTTTCGTGGGAACAAATAAAAAGTTGGATCAATTAGATCCTTCTTTTATGTATACTCAAATCATAAAAGAAATATTACTAAGCATAAAATTTGAAATGAAACACATCAACGATTATCTTAGTTATTGTCGTGATGCTTTTGAAGGTAATACAAAAGAACTTAAAAATATCCAACAGTTGGAAAGCCAATACCACAACAAAACACCAATTTATTGGTACACCTGTCAAATGTTCTTGTATCCCATGCTGAATCGTGCATTACGATTGATGGATGGTGATATCATTACACATATGGGCTTCTTCATTGGTGATTTACATCGCCAGATTGAACAATTGCACAAGGAACAATATGCTGGTACAACTGCTGCTAACACCTTCACTGTTTATCGTGGTCAAGGTTTATCTACAGAGGATTTTGAACAAATGAGCAAAACTAAAGGTGGTCTTATTTCATTCAATAATTTCTTATCTACCAGTAAAGTTTGCAACATTTCACTGCGTTTTGCTCAAAATGCTACAATAAATCCAGATCAAGTCGGTGTACTTTTTATGATAAAAATTAATCCTACTCGAACAACAACACCATTTGCTTCCATTGCTGGTATTAGTGATTTTCAGAAGGAAGAGGAAGTCTTATTTTCCATGCATAGCGTGTTTCGTATCCAGGACATTAAACAGATGAGTGGAAATAATCATTTATATGAAGTTAATTTGGTACTGACTGCTGACAACGATCCAGAATTAAGCAGACTTACTGATTATATTCAAAAAGCGAGTTTTTCAGGCTCGGAAGGATGGTACAGCTTAGGTTCGGTACTATATAAAATGGGTCAACTCGACAAAGCTAAAGACATTTATCAAGTTTTACTTGATCAAACCAAGGATGATAAAAACAGGGCACCTATTTATGGTCAACTTGGTTTGATCAAAAAGGATCAAGGAAAATATAAAGAAGCACTTACATTCTGTGAAAAATCACTTGCTATCTATCAAAAAACTCTTCCTCCAAACCATCCTCATTTACCTTCTACCTGCAACAACATTGGTGAAGCGTATAGAAACATGGGTAATTATCCAAAAGCACTTTCATCTCATGAAAAAGCCCTTGAAACCAAGCAACATTCACTTCCTCCCAATCATCCTAGTTTGGCTTCTTCCTACGGAAACATTGGTTTAGTGCATTACAACATGGGTGATTATCCGAAAGCACTTTCATCTCATGAAAAAGCTCTTGAAATTCGACAACAGTCACTTCCTCCCAATCATCCTGAGTTGGCTAAATCCTACAACAACATTGGTAATGTGCATGATAGCATGGGTAATTATCCGAAAGCACTTTCATCTTATGAAAAAGCCCTTGAAATCAAACAACAATCACTTCCTCCCAATCATCCTGATTTGGCTATGTCCTTAGGAAACATGGGTAATACGTTCAACAAGATGGGTCAATATTCAAAAGCGCTTTCATTCTGTCAACGTGCTGTAGATATTGCACAACAATCACTACCATCAAACCATTCGCACCTTCAATGGTATAGAAACAATCTGGAAGATGTAAAAAAGAAATCATAATTTATTTTTGATTTTATTATGAAAATAAACAGGTATTGTAGAAAAAGACCTTCACGATATATAGTTATTGTATCTGAACAAGGTGGAGTTTCTCTGTGTTGGATAAGAAAAAGAACGGTCACCCAACAAGCTGTTTAAAGCAACGAAGAGAGAGAAAAAGAATTCTATTTATTCAATACTACGAATTATTTTTTCTGTTTCAGTAAAAAGAATAATTCATGTGTATAGAATAAATAAACAGAAGATAGAAAAATAAGTGATTTCCATAGATATTAACCTACAGTGGAACAGATCAATATGTTAATTTGAATAGAAAACGCTACTCAACTCAACTCAGTTGAGTGAAATGAACTGAGTATATCTATAGTGTCATTATGTATGATATACGATGACGAAAAAGTTAGTTAATATGATGATTTCATTCAAAGAAATGAATAGTATATTAAAGAAATTTACGTATATATATGAAAAGATACAAATCAAATGATTTTGTTTGAATATTATTCAACTTATATCTAAATATTTACCAATCAACCAAGAGTATTTATGCAAAATAGTAACTTTATTGTTATTATTATTCATAATTTTGTCTTTTAGTTATTGTAAAACTGATGACGGTAAAAAATTCTTTAATAAATTTCAAATATAGTTTTTTTGTCATAAATATATAATGTTCTTTTTGAATCCAAAGGCTGCACCTATATATAATCTCTGTGGTAATATTTACCTCTATTTGATTGAATGATGATTAAACGAAAGGCAATGTATTAATATTTTAACACTTAGTTTGATTTAAGTGAAGCCATATTTAATATTATAAGTTCGAAAACAAATGAATCAGAATGAGAGTATCAGACATGAATAAACTAGGAAAGACTAACGTTTAAGATTTGCATTTATTTTTGTAAACAGAAATAAAAAAAACTAACCTCAGATTCCAATTGCTCGACCCAAACTACCTTTGGTCAGACTTTGTCGGACGGTCAGGGATGAGTTTTTATCGATTCAGTGTGTGCTGAATTCTCATTGGCTTACAGGGACAAACTATCTCTATGTATTTGAAGCCGATGATTTAAACGCTATATAACCCTTTCTTGCGGAAAAGTGAATAAAGAATATTAGAGAATTTTCTCTATATGTCACATTTCTGATAGCTTAACGAATGTCTTGTTTCAGAAAAATCGTGTACACTTTTTTCCCATCTACAGTTAACCAATAAAATAGTGAAGTTTACCGAAATCAACGTAGCAAGTTAATTTTTTCTCTATTATCAATGAAATAAAACTAAAGTTCAATTATTCCATCAATTAATTGTATTTATATACTTTTTTTTCATTTGAGTAATTCAAAAGAATAAATATATGATAAAATGTCTTAATCAACAGTCTCTTGATCTATATATACTATTTATTATATTAATATCGAGTATGAAACTTTGGAAATATCTTTTTTTGTTATTCTCTCGATTGTAAGGAAGATCATATGAAATAAAATAATTTGCGTTTTTGTATCACGGTAAAAAAACGTCGAAGATAAAAAAACACGTATGAGTCATGAAACTTCATTAATCAGTTTTTGAGTCGAGAAATCAGAATCTGAGGTCCGTTTAGTTAGACGTGTCGGGGGTGATTGTAGGTGGGTGGATGTGAGCCTGGGTACCTTAAGTTTAGATCCACATCCACACCCTTGAATATATCCTTTAATGAATCCTCCTAAAAGGGTTCCTGAAAGGGTTTATGAAAGTTTCATATACCGTTAAAAAGGTTTCGTATACATTATACTTTCATATACTCTTTTTGGGTTTATTGATGTGGCGCATTTTTTACAGTGTATAGAATTGAATAGAAAGACATACTTGTGGTAATTGGATTATTAGACCAAAAATTCCAAAATAAACACATATCTTCATATAAGATAATATTTTTCTCTATTTAAAATTTTCCACTATAATTAATTTTGTTTAAACAACTGCAGATGTTGGTTCAAGAGCTTTATTAAAGAAATCTGCTATACATCCAATTACAATTCGCATTCATTCTAGTTTGTTCATTTTTAACATTGCCAAAATAGTGTTTGAATTTATCTCCTATTTAGAATTAATTTTCTTTCATATACTTGTTTAGTTTGTTGAAAACAATTTACATTAAGAAACGAATCGTTCTTTTTATATAGAGCATTTAATAAAAATATAGTGAGACTAACTACTATTGATTGACGCTTTCGTCTAATATCAAACAAATTTTGATTGCATAAAAGTATACCAGTTGTTTCGTTATCTTCGATTTATATGTTATTGTTAATACACCTCCTGATGAACAATGTGTTCGTTTAACAGAAGTAAAATTGAATCGATCATTAAATGTATTAATAAAATAATCACTGATAATGTCAGTGCAAGTGTAAGATCAAACGTCAATACAGCAATGTTTGTTAATACTTAGTAAAATAAATCGAAAGTGAAAATATATACCATAATATAACCAATAAGAGAAATGATAGTTTGTTTTGTTATCAAACTTTGAAGACTCATTTTTTATTATCATTAATCTAGTTTTACCTGCTGTGATCAATAAGAACTGCACTCGCTAAGTTTTGAAAGAATTAGAAGAACATTTAGAATCCTATTACTTATTTGCTAATTTCGGTACTTCGAAATGAAATATCTAACAGATAAATCTTAATAATTCTAATTCATCACAGACATAATAGTAAATTTTACCAGTTCAAAACTTTATGAACATATATCTGATATCTCTGAAAGATTGAATAAAATTGTACATGAGTGACATCTATAACATTTTATAATGCTATACACTTTCTCTTACAACCAATCCTTCTTAGATCCTAATAGCTTCTTGATATTTATTTTATTGGTCTTATTTCATTTTTCTCGAAAATCGAAATTAACTTTTCATTAATTTATTTATATTATAGATGGTTGCAAAATCGAAAAAACCGAGATCACAAACCTCTACTCCAACGAAAGCTGAACTTCTTTTTAAAGTTGGCAAAGATATTCCAAAATGGTATTCACTTGATATTTCTTCACCATCAAAAACTAATAAAGAAAAATATGATAAACAACAATGTCAAGAAATCTATCAATCAGAATGTGATCTATATCAAAAATTCTATCAACAAGATCAATCATCTGATTATCAATGGTTACAAACATCACTTTCAACTACATCCAAAGTATAATTTTTATGTCAACAATAAAACAATTTTTTTTATTTCTATTCAAATCTTTTTCTTATTTGTAGGATCGTCTTGCTTCTTTAGTTACATTAATTCGTCGTTCACCTATTCATGCATTAAAAGAACTTGAAAATTTAGTAAATCTTTTACGATCAAATATTCAACATCGTCGAGAAGCATTAACAATTGCTGAAATTCTCGAAGATCTTTTCATTAATACCTATTTACCGGAAAATCGTCGTTTAGTACCCATAACTCAACAACTCAATACAAAGGAAACAGCTGCACTTGCAGTCGTTGAAGAAAAAATTAAACAACTTTATTCAAATTTTATTGATTTACTTCAAGTATATTATATAGATTTTCTCCTATAACTATATTCTAAGGTTTTTCCATAATGTCCTTTGTTTTAAAGTAAATACTAAGAGAAGAGGATCGATTAATTCGATACTTGTCATCGATACTGAATATTTACTTACTAGTATGCACTTAAGAAACAGGATAGTCCTGATACAGAAAGAATTACAATTGTAAATAATCATTGAAAGTAGTAGACGAGTTATTTAAGATAAAAAATCGAACTGATTTAGAAGGATAGAAGTAATAAGATATTGCAATAGATTTAACTATAATTCTTAATAGAAACATATATCTTATTAAGATTTTATATTTGTACATATTTTGATAAATACAGAACAAAAACAATCTATAATCTGAAATACCAGTACTACTGTAAGATTTCCATGGGTCTTAAAAACTTTCTCCGGAGCAGATTAGCATGCGATCATGTTTCATGTATAACTAGGACAAGTCTTATGTTAATAGTATCGAGTGATTTCTATATAGTTCGATCATATCCAAACGACTGATAAAAAGAGCTAGAATTACAAAACAAAATTGTATTAGAATTGCTTGTAATAAATTGATATACAATAAAATGAATAATCGAAACTATAGCAGCTCTACAAATCTAGGTTATACATGTATATATATTGATTGTTTATTTTTATAGCAAATAGCACATGATCCAATTGGTCCAATACGTACTAAAGCAGTATCTATGCTTGAACGTTTATTATCTCAACGACCTGAACAAGAAAAACGTTTACTTGAATTAATTGTTGATAAATTAGGTGATCCAGATTCCAATGTTGCTGCTAAAACACTTCATTTATTAAGTCAACTTTGTAAGAAATAGTCAAAAAAACAGAACAGATATTTTAATATTCTTTATTTTTATAGTGGAGAAACATCCAGGAATGCAAACTGTCGTTGTTAATGAAATTGAACGTCTTCTCTTTCGACAAAATATTCGTCAAAGTGCACAGTATGTTAAAATTAATTTTTCTTTTTTAACTATGTTTTTATTAAATATTAGACATTATGCTTTATGTTGTTTAACAGCAATAAAATTTACAAGTCAAGATAATAATTTAGCTAATAAATTAATTAAAATTTATTTTGCTGTCTTTCGAGTAAGTTAACAAAAGAATATTTTAGACTTGATTGATTATATATATATGTTTTTATCTAATTATAGTTACTGAGTGTTAAAGATGATGTTAGTTCAAAATTTTTTGCAATACTTCTAAGTGGTGTTACACGTGCTATTTCGTTTGCTCAAGGTAAAAATGAATAAAATAATCGAACCATTTATTTGATGTTACAATTTATTTGATAATGTCGTTTCTTTGAATCTTTGACAAATTCGAGGAGTTACTTTACTGATTATAATATATTAGTTAAAAGTACTGTATTTTAGCACTTGTCTGATTAGAAATTTATAGAGCAAGATTTGGGTG